AAAGCGCTGCTTGATATTTCTTGAATTCGGGCCCCAAAACCAAAGATTATGTATTTGTTTCGCTTTTGTGCCTGAAAATAGGATTTTTCGCTCACACCAACACCAAGATGGTAAATTGTGTATAACAGTATGGCTGTCTCTGTCTCGCCCCAGTTGCGGCCGCAGGGCTACCAGACCAGTAGGAAACGGCTCTCAACAGTGCTGTTGTTTCCTAACAGCTGCCTAACAGCGGCAGGCTGATTTCGCAGCTGACCATTGATTACATTTTTAATTAATGAAATTTGGCGCGGAAACAGGCGTACAGACAATAACAATGACCAGGGACAATACGAAAGCGATTGGGCTGGCACACTCGGCGCACCCGTACTCGGTGCCCCTTTTTCAAGATTAGCACAACTTGTAGGCCTTTTTTTCACATGGATCTTTTTTTGCAGAATCCTACTGAACACTCAATCGCTTAATCAATGATGGACCGCAAGAAAGCCCTGGAGTTGGACAAAATCTGTCGCCTTTGCATATCTGAGCGAAAGGAAATGCGTCCACTCTTCAGCGAGAAGGTGCCGGAGATGCTGATGGACTGCACCAGCGTGCGAATAGTGCCCACCGAGGGCTGGCCCGACAAGATCTGTGTTCAGTGCGTCCACTCTGTGAGTCGGAATCACGCCTTCAAGACGCTCGTCGAGCGCAGCGACAAGGAGCTGCGCGAGTACATCACAGGCCTCACAGTGCGCATGGCGATGGAGGAGCAGTCGTCGGCCAATGCGAAGCACCAGCAGCAGCAGGAACGCAAGCAGCAGAAGCTCCTGCAGAAGCAGCTTAAGCAGCAGCAACTGGAGGAGCAGTTCCAGCAGCAAATGGCCCAGCAACAGCACATCCAAAGCAAGCCCAAGCTAAAGCCATTGCTGAAGAAAGGGTCGCGCCAGATCAAGCTGCGGCACCTGGAGTCAGCCGCAGCGTCGCCTCCTGCCCAGCTGCAGCTCATGCCAGAGCCAGCACCAGCCCCGCCACCGCCACAGCAAGCCACGCTGCAGCAGCAACTTCAGCAAATTCAACTGCCAACTCTCCAGCAAGCCCCCACCCACAACCTGCTCTCGACCACAACCGCCGGGACGATGCCCCAGCAGATTCTGCTGCCCAATGGTCAATTTATCACAACTGCCCAGATCGTGGCCCCACAGCTGGCGCAGATCATCAGCACTGCGCCGCACGGAACGACAAACGGAAATGGGGGCGCCCAGCAAGCACAGTTCCTGCCACAGCTCCTCCAGGCGCCCAACGGACAGACCCTCCAGATAGTCCAGCAGCCGAACGGCACGCAGACGCTGCAGCTAGTCCAGTTGGTGCCGCAGAGGAGTATGGCGCCCACGGGCGTGACAACAGTGACCACAACCACATCCCCGGTGAACATGGGCAACGGAACCGGCTCCCTGGCAGATGCCGACGTGCATCTCCTGGACGACGGCTGCGATGTGGAAGACGAGGAATTCGAAGAGGTCTATGAAAGCCTCGATAGCAAGGGTCAATCGTTCGAGACGATCGTCCTGGATGAAGACCAGCACCAGGAATTCCTGAAGGACCACCAGCATCAGGTATTAATGGACGACGACCTGACCCAAAGTGAAGGCCAGGAGCCCGAATACTTCGATGAATTGGATCAGCAGCAGCTGGAAGACAGCGACTTGAAGACCGAGGATGATGAGGACAGATTTATCATAGAGGAAATCCAGCTGGAGGAAGAGGATCTGATGGATGAGGCCGACGAGACCATAACACCCGACTGTGAATACATCACAGACGACGCGGACCAGCATAATCTGAGCGGAGATATGGACGATGAGCTGCACTACGCCATCATGGAGCCACCAGACGGCGAGACCACTGGGGACCTCGAGCAACCCTTCCTGGAACCAGCAGACGGCGAGGCCAGTGCGGACATGGAGCAAGCCTTTATGGATGCGGATGACGTAGAGCTGCACCAGCACCATCAGGACGACATGGAGGGGATGGAGCTGCAAAGCATATCTCTGGAGAATGCCGTGGTCGAGTTCAGTCAGGCGACGACAGACGACAACATGGGCACCCCCACCCTGAGCGTCAGCTCCCCCAGTCCCACGCCCAAGCGGGCCAAGCGAGGTAACCAGTCCACGTCCACATCCACATCGGCAACCGCCGTCACATTGGAGCTGTGCAATCATCAGAGCAGTCCGCCTGCCATCAGCAGCAAGCTGGCGGCTGCCAATTCCCGACAGCTGGTCCAGACTGCCAGCGTCATAGCTGCTGCCGGGGCGGACGACAACTACGAAATCGACGCCAATCTCGTGACGGAGTTCATCAAACAGCACACCTCCCCGCTGGGCTCGGGGCGGTACGTCTGCCACCTGTGCAGCACGGAGTTCCGGCAGTTCAAGGGACTGCAGAACCACATGCACTCGCACACCAACTGGATTCGGGCCAACTGCAAGAAGCAGCCGCAGTGCCAGATCTGCCTGAAAAGCTTCAAGGGTCCCGGCATGCTGCGCATGCACATGAAGACCCACGACGCCGAGACCAACACCCCCATCTGCACCATCTGCAATCGCACGTTCAAGTCGAAGGCCATCCTCTACCGGCACCGGCAGACGCACCAACAGCGGGCCTACTGCTGCGGCGTCTCCAACTGCCGCAAGAACTTCTCGTCGGCCGCCAACCTGCGCTGGCACGTGGAGCGCAAACATCCCGACGTGATCGATCCCTTCTACAAGTGCGGGGAGTGCTCCACCCTCTACGACAGCATCGACGGACTCCAGCAGCACGTGGAGAGCACGGACCACAGCGAGGCGCAGATAAGCGACGCCACCAGCAATAGCAATGCCGCCTTCAGTGGCGCTGTCAGCATCGTTAGCAATGGCACCGACATGTCCAACATGATTGCCGCTGCCCCCGGGGGCCTCGGCACCAGCGCCCCCGGGGACACACATGCTGTCGTCGTCGGATCCTCCGGCGAGGTTTATTTTGTGACGCAGGCGTAGCCCGCGGAGTATGCCGCAGTAGGCATGTCCGAATGTCTGCTCGGCCTCTAGACCATATAGATTATGCATATGCCTATACGTATATATACATATACATATATATATATTTTTGTACTATCCAAATTAGTTGTCGTACTAGTATATAGCACACCACACCAAACCTTCCCCACACACAAACACAAAAACACATATTGCAATCCAAGATTTCTATCGTAGAACTTGTTTACATCGTATGGTAGCCCTTAAGCACAACTACTCGAATTTTGTAAGTGAAAACAAAAGTGTAGGTAAGCAGAACGATCCCACAGCCCACATATCGATCCCATCCCACATCCCACATCCTTGAAGAGATCGAATTGAATCCCAAAACTACTGAGTGCAAAGATCACTCTATCTATCGAAGTTAACTGAATTGAATGTACATACATACATATGTTGGTTAAAAAGATATAGCGGTTTGACTTATGAAAATTGTTGAACATATTCAGTTGAGCGGCACTGTATGACATGCAGGGTACGCAGAATGGGCACTATACTGGTTTATAGATCCTGTGTGAAAACTAGTTCCCCATCTCCGTATGAAAGCTTACTACAAATATCGATTTTAATGGGCAGGCAAGCAGCTCGATCCCTCAAATATTCTCCATTTCCCATCCCATCCCATCCCGTCCCGTCCCATCCTACTTATTCCACCCTCCTGTATGAAAGCTAACTGAATGTAAAGGTAATTTTTGGGGACTGTGTCAGTTGATTTGTTTTTAGTTTTATTTGTATTATTATTATTTTGTTTTCCCGGGAATATCAGACTGGCATTTTAGGCTAGAACTTTGTCGGCTTTTGGTTTTCATTGTTGGGCATTAATTGAACACGGATAAGAAGAAAGTGGTTTTATCAAACCTCATAACAAATAAATAACAAAAACTTGTGTAAACTTGTGTGTCTTTCCATGTCCCATCGATTGTCGAACTATTGGGCGAGTCTGTGGTCTCTTCAGGTCGCAACCCGTTAATGTCAGAGTATTTCTGCTTAAACTTGTAATCCTCCTGTTGCTGTGGTGGGTCTGCTCTTGTTTTGCTCGACTGTTGTTCCCTTAACCGGAAAAAACAGACAGAAGCAAAACAAAACCGATCCAAAGAGAATTACAATCAAGTCAAGGTCCACGGTATATTGATTCCAAAGTGCCACGTGCCACGTGCCAGTGTCTGATTGTGGCAGCTCTGGTAGGGTCGTAGATGTATCGGCAATTAGCACAACATATCAAGCAAAGCTATGCAACCCGATGAGAGGCAATTGAAAATGGAACCAAGTCGCAGATTGGGGGTTCAGCTTTCCGTTTGGGGCGCTCCATGTGCCATCTAGTGCACAGCACTCGACAATTCCGATGTTTAGGTCGAAACTTCAACAATATTATGTATTTCCTCGACTAATTGGTTATCCCCCCGCAATCTCAAGTCTCTGGCTGTCATATAAAATTGATAATTAATTAGCAAATAAGTTGGCGAATGTCATAAATCGGAATAGCACCCGGGCAGCGAAAATCGCCTTCCAGGCAATTCATTTTGTTCGTTCAGATTATTTATGGCAGCCCGGCCCAGTCCGCCGCCGAGTGTCGAGTGATAAGATAGCCTCCGCTGCTCTGCTGCTCGGCTGCTACATATTTCGCTTTTCCAATAAATTTCCTCTGGCGGAAAAGCCCGGCCCCTGGCCTGCATTAATTATAGCAAGAGTAAATATTGATTATTCGATGATGACGACCTTCGTTCGTGATAATAGCTTAAACTTAGACTCATGCCAAAGCTTCTATCTATGCAAATGAGATTTGATTTCCCCAGAAACTACTTCCTCCATTATTCGGTTGTTGCTGCTGCCATCCTCGACTGGAGGCGTCCTTGAACTTTGGAGCGTCTCTGGCAGAGGGAAAACTTGGCCCAGAACCAAAAAAGTAAGGGGAATTATGTGGATTATGCCGGGCAGAGCAACGCTACAATGGTCTTTCATATTTCAAAACTCAAGTATGTATTTCGTATAGAAATTGTTTTGTAACCACAAAACCAAAACAGTTGGCAAATTATATCAAATTTAATTGATTTGACTCTCTGTTGAGAGAGGGAGAGGGGGAATCGAAATAATTGCAAAGAATTTTGAATCCACACACATTTTTGTCCTATTAATAATTCATACATCCATGGGCGAACCAATCTGGGGACCGGAGGTCCCTCGACGTCACGTCACCTGCGACATTAGTCACGCTACGGCAGAAATTTCACAGAAAATATATTTAATTTTTAGTGATATTTACGGGTATGTATTGTGCATACCATACATACATACATATGTACATATGTGGTGCCACACCTTCTGGGAACGGTAACTGTAGCTCTTTCGAATCCTTCTGCCGAGAGACGGGCGAAATTAGAACGCAATTGGGGAAATTCTGTAAAGCCAACGCGCAATGGAACACTTGTATCGTCCGAATGCCTGAGAAAACATTCCACTATTATTCGATTGAATTATGGTTCTCACCTGCGACGGCTGTTTATAATGCCCGTAATATTCCCGCTGATTGGCAAGAACTCATTTCCCAGAAATAAATCTGAGGATGGAGATCCACTTCAAAGAGCATACCCCTCTGCCCTCTCCCAACATTGTTGCCGGGCTAACAGTTCTCAGTTTGTGTCGTTAAATCGACTGAGAGTAAACAATAAACAGAAACAATACGTATTCAGCGTCCGTTCGTCCGGAAGAAACCGAAAGCGAGTAACGCCTGAGCCACACTGATCTGTTTACTGATCCTATAGCTGATTATGATCGATGCAATTTGTTGCCCCCAGTGTTGGCGTGGCCCAGACATCAGACCGGACCATGAACACACAGACGGACGGACGGACAGGGCCAAGTAAGACAGGCAAATACTTGTTGTCTACCTACACCCCGCCCTAGCCCAAGATATCTGCCCATTGACGCAATTGAAAAGAATAACAATATTGTTTACTTTTTGTGGTCTGACTCTCTGCAAATAATACCCATACTTAGCTCCGATTATTCGTGTATTTCGAGCCAGATACTCTTTTTCGTAGGGCTATGATGCTGTGTGCTATAGCTTGAAATTCCCACCAAATTGGTTAGCAGAATAACTATTCGTTTAATATTTATAAATTGTATGGCAATTATATGGGAATACCCCATACAAGGGGCTCGTTAAAACTGAACTTGTCATTACTGGTGGGTGATTCCCCTTCAATCTTTGATGGCATGACCAGTGAGTGAGTCATTGCACTTTCATTTCCTCAGATTGTAAGCAATCAACTCTGAGACTTTCTCTGCATAAAAAGGGACTGCCAAGACCCGATACGAGTAGATACAGTACATAGGGTATACGGCATTCTGCTATCCCCGAACCAGTGGCTGCCTTCCAATTGTTTTGCTTTGGAAACATCACGAATTAGCAATTCACACTTCGCATCGCATCGCATTTTGTTTTCATTTCTTGACACATTTGTGGAAAGAGTTTGATTGAACTTCGGTTAGGGGGTACATGCCCTTGGATAACCTGTTCGTGGACATAAATGTAAGTGCGGTTCGTCTTTCCAGGTTAGGGAATTCCCACTTCGTCGATGCTGTTCCTTTGGATTGCTGTAAGCGTTCTATCGCTTATCTTTGGCATTAAATTAAACTTGATCTATATATCCATATCCCCCGGCGACAAATGCCAGTACAAAGAGTACACAGTCGCTGGGAGGCACACACATAAATCCGTGCAAATGCTATTGCCGTTCAAATATTTATATAATTCGTACAATTATAGACTGGCTACGGACCGTGGCAATATTTATAGCGAGAGACCGATTTTCTTTTTCTGCTTGCGGCGCAATTTCAGTTCATTTCCGATACCAAGGCTTGAAAAAAGCGAATTTTGTTTAAAAAATCATGTCCACATATATTTTGATGTGGGGCACACGAACTGATCTCTGAGAGGGTTCTTGCTCTTCTCGGACTTCAGCATCTGCCATTGACATTGGTCATTCGTTTGGTCATGACTTTCTCTGGCGTGTGCTGCCTGAACGCAGACAAACGGCTCCAAGGATCCCCAATAAACTGGGTTAGCGATAGGGATAAAAGACCTTTGCTACATGTTGCACACTTTATGGGTTAAATCGATGAGTAAATGGGAAATTCCCAAAGGGTTTTCAGTCTTTCAGTCTGGGGCAGGCATGAAGGGTGCGATGGCATTTATCATTTTGCCGGCATTTTTGATTTGGCAATGGGCCAAAATATTTTACCCACCCATATCCCACCACCCACATCCCACAACCCACAACCCACATCCCCGTCAGATGGCAACAGCTGGTAACGAGACACGACCCACAATTTGGCGTGGTCAGTGCTAGCCGCCGAATCGTTTGGAACACCGATGGCATGTGGTACGTGGTCAGTGGCCAGTGACCACGTTCTTTCGAATTGCCCATGAAAAGCTCCCGGCAAACTTTGTCTTTGTCAGGGGCAAACATTCCTTGGCTCGCCTTGCGCCAGTCTGTTTGGGCAACGCCTTCTCTTGGCCGCCCGTCCGTCAGACCCACCCGTCAACGCGGAAACGTATTCTGAGATTCGGTCATCAGAGCGCCAGCGATCACGGCGGGGGCTCGTGGCCATTGTTCCGGTAACCGGTGACGTCTCGTCTTCCCCACAAAAAATAAAAGAGAGCCCGTCGATACTCAGAGCATCTCGATTCTAGATAAATCGGATTCCCGCCCATTGGCGAATGCCTGGCATAGTACGAAAAAGTAAAATTTATAGCATTGGGGGAATTCGCTTCTCGAGCGACGAATGAAATGCCTTTTTGCTTTGCTTTCTATATGCGGACTTCAATGTCACGGTCGGGTCGCGTTGTCTGTGTCCGATTCAGAATTACATTACCTGCTGCACATGTTCTCGTACCCACATAGTATAGTTAATCCACACTATACATATGTATGTATGAACATGCTTAATGCTGTGATGACACACGTATGTCTTCGACTTACTGCCTAAAATATAAATGCTTGATTTAAAAAGAAATTAAATAAATTCACTTTTTGGCATGCCACAAAATTCAAATAATTCCGTTGGCGTGCTTTCGGATGAATTGTATAATGTGCTTGCTAGTTGTTGAATAAATTTAAATTTGAATTCTATATTCTTATGAAATGAAAGAGAGCGAGAGGAAATTCTCATAGACAGTCATTCTGTGTGATCATCTTTTATCAAATCGCAAGATGTTCTGTCTCTTCTTCGTTCTTCAGCTTCGATCGATTATTAATCGAAACATTTCTGCTATCGAAGGCGTGATGGTTTCAGTTATTGTGCTTCTCTCATCGAACCATGTCAGAGAGTGGCTTCCTAACTCTTATCGATCATTAATCGAAGCCTGTTTGAGCCTGTTATTTGCTATCGAAATGCATTCCATCCATTCAGCTCAACTGTTTTGATCACTGGCAAATGAAAATCAGCTGATAAACACTGTTTCATCATAGGTAACTGGAGAAATGATGAATAACTCATTTGATTGTCGTTGTAAATTTTCAATTGCCCAACTGCTGTTGACGCAGCTGTTGTGGCACTTATGTCTCGAGTATTTTCAATTGAGCTGGAATCACACGAGCAGCGGGCGCGTGTTTTCAATAATAGTTATCAATAACGCACCAGACGGCCAGGCACGGACTGGAACTTCATCTATATAAATAGGAATGTAAGGTACGAATATATCTGCATGCGCTTATCGAGAATTACTTCTGTGGAGTGACGTGGTGGCTGGTTCTTGTGGCTCCAAGAAAACTGTCTTCTTGCACGCATGGCTTTTCGTCTAATTGCGATTCCGCAGGAGTGGGCTCTAATGCAAGCCCAACGACAGAAACAAACCAGCCACCATGTCCTTGCTATCCCGCCCAGAAGCAGGAAAATCGATGATGGGAAAAGTTTTAGGTGCAGCGCGTGTCCTTGGCGCGGCAGAGCGGTTGCGGATGCGGATGCGCCAGCATCCAGCTCAAGGTCGACTCCCATCCAGCACCAATCGAGGATACATATCTGCTTCCGTTTTGATTGTCGCCAATTACACATAATCGGATTACAAACGTACAAGTTTCTGAAAATGATTGACACCATCAACATCATCATCAGTAGTACTTGCTGCCTGAGTGACAGCTTCCCTTGCTGGCTTCTAGCTGCCGGCCGCCTGTCAGCCAAATTGGCCCACTAGAAGCCCCTGCCGGATGAGTAATCCGGCATCATCGGGAAGCATCTGAATCGTATTTACCCACCCGACAGCGGAACAGGCCCCGACAACACACACAAGTGAAATGTGGAATAGTCATATATTTGCCGAGTGACAATTCCGCCCAAAAACATTTGCCGAGAACACAATCATATAGTATTATTTGAAAGCGTTCCACAGTCAATTAAGTATTCTAATATTCAAGAATCTGTGAGGCGATCACAGTAATCAAGTAAGGAATGAGGTTTTTGGCCAGGCATGAGTGAGGCACGTGCAGGAGGTAAACTTAATCTGGAACTACGTTAGAATCTACTGAAAAGCTACTGTACTGTTGTTTGTCCGTCGTGATCATGCCCAGGCCTGCCCTTCAGTGTGACCTGCATTCTAGATGCCCTATGGACGGAACTAACGCATATATGCAGGCATTGCCTTCAACAAAGAGAGAAGGTCGGGCCAGGCCTCGCTCGACTGCAGTCAAAGTCAGTGTCAAGGATGGCAGCGCGACGAACAATGGAAGCGTCAAGCGGTGTGGCGCCCACTTACTTGCCCAGAGCCTTGACAATGAATGGCCTTGCCTCCTTCTCGTCCTCCTCCAGATGGGCAGAGCATAAAGCGCTTGGAATAAATTATTTATGGGGGCGCCACAGGGTCTTTGGGATTGGGCCTGACAACACCACTCCGAGCCGAGCTAGAAAACTGGATGGGAATGGGTTGTAGGCGGCTCTTAGAGGATGGGGCCCATCATATGTAGCTCTTATCGGTTATGAGTGGGGCATGACACAGTACACGAGTATCTCGACAAGTCTGCTCTTTTCGTTGCAATCTATTCTGCTTGTGTTTGATGTTAAAAATATCCGGGTGTTGCGTCACTTTTGCCATTTTCCAATCTGAATGAAACCTTTTGAGTTTTATTTTCGTATGTGCCAAATGGAGACGACGCCACGGAAGCTCACGCGATGATTTTCCTTTCATTCGCTGCTGTGTGTTCTCTATTTTATAGCTACGACATTCCCCGTAAACACTTTCGATAATAACCTTAGGCAATTGCAATTCCCGTACGAGGTACGGTACGGTGTAGATGTACGAGCGTTTCCCGACATTTGCTAGGTTCCGTGGTCAAACGGACGGGGAATTGTATGGAAAAATTTGATAACTGATGTCATCGCTCAACTTCTTAATGGTATCGACCGATCGATCGCTACACTTGAAAGGCTGAAAGCCCCATGATCCACAGCTGATTCCTTGTCAAGAGCTTCCAGACAATGAGTATCAATATATCACCTCGACGCACTCCACTCCTTACCGGCCGATCGGCCTATAGATTGCCGATGTTTAATGGAATATTTTGCGATAAGATGTGAACGATAATGGCAAACGTCGAGTCGTTTGTCAACAAGAGCAGCTGTTCACGTTGTGTTTTTGGGTGCCGTCCCCGTAATTTAATTAGGGCGCTCTGTTCTGCGTTCCGTAAGAGGTATCCGGAAACCAGGGAGGTGCCAGAGAGGTGCTGCCCGCCCGGCTCTTGGCCCCTAGTGGCTTCCGTCAACAAATATTTGCGGCGGACTTTTTATTGGACAAACAATGGGCCGGAGATTAACGGAAAAAACAGTTTACCTAAGAGATTTCCTATTGTTTATTGTTTTCTGTCACAATTAGTCCGCAATCGAATTTATTTCTCGGAATCTTGGACAGCGCTCTGGCTGGCTGGAAAGATTGGGTTGGGATCTTTGCCAAATGTTGACCCACAAATTGGCCATTTCTGCAAGGGAATCCGGGGCTCTGGTGCGTGCACCGCGATGATTTGTCAGAGGGGTCACCACCTCACGTGGCCCAAGAGCGTGTTGGCTTCTCAATGGAAAATCTGGTTCGCCTGGATGTGACAGGCGGTGGATGTCATGGGAGGAGGAACACCCAGGCCATGGAAGAGTTGGCTGTTGGTAGCAGTGCTGTCAGATTTTGAGAGTCACCATAAGCTAGATCACTAACCATACAGCATGGATATGACAGGCGGTGGATGTCATGGGAGGAGGAACACCCATGTGAACAGGCCATGGAAGAGTTGGCTGTTGGTAGCAGTGCTGTCAGATTTTGAGAGTCACCATAAGCTAGATCGAAGAAAAAACTAAGCTAGAATAAGCTAAAAAGTACAAATGGTCCCAATTTTTGCCTTACAAAAGCAGCAGTACGATTTTGTGGGGTCAGTTGGCACATTGCGTAACCACTTCTTAAATTAATTTTTTGTATGTAATGTGCAAACATGTGCATACTGTAGTGTGACAGAAACTTATCAACGAATAACTAACACACATTTATACACAAAATTGGATGATATACCAAAATACAGCCAAGAAATATGATTTTTGTTCGATTTCTCGATAAAAATTATCAAATATTACAATACAATCAAAAACTAAAATTGTTTTGTACTAAATTTGTATAAGCTTAAAAGCTAGATTTCAAGCTATAAGCATTTCAATTTTGTTTTAATATAACCCAAATCTTGCTTTAAATAAGCTAAAATGGCCACACTACCAACTTGGTGGGACGCGGAAGAGCGAGAGAGCGCTGCGCAGCCAAAGTATAATAATACAAGGTGCGGCTTACCCACGCACCTTAACTCGGAACACACAAATGCATCAGGAAAGAGAGCATCAAAACCTCCCCTCGCATTAATATTCTTTGCTGACCAAAGTATCTGTAGGCGCGCACAGATAGCTTGCTCGCTTACGCTCACAGAAAAACCCCGAGAAACAAGTGCTGCGACTATCTATCGTGCTCTCGCTCAGGCGCAAGTCTCGCCACTGTAGTCACCATAAGGCTAGAGAAAAAAATCATTTTTGTGGGCCTTTTGTTTAAACTTTACAGTTGTTCGAGTCGGACGTGTGCGCGCTAAAGTATCGTGGTGGAAAAAGTGTGTGATAAGTGCAAAATAAGCTGAAACGCGCATGTGAGAAATCAAATTTAATTGAGAAGCATAAAACCGTATACATACATATCCAGAGCCACGCAAGTGTTTGTGTGCGTGTGTGTTTGTGAGAGATTTTCTCCGTGAAAAATGCAAACTGAATGAAAATCAAGCCAACAAATTGGAAATTGGAAAAATATTCTAACACATTGGGGACAACCAGAGTTGTCTCGAAAAAGGTAAATTTGTTGCAACGAAACGCAGCCAAAAAACGATTAGCAATTTTAGCCCCGATTGTGTGTGTATTTGTGGGAGTCGTATGTGTGCGTGTGAATTTTATTTAACTTTTTTTTCGTGTATGTGCACTGTAAAAATAGCTAGAGAGACTCCCTCTCTCTCTCCCTGCTCGCGACGTCATCGTTCAGGGCAGAGTTTTTGTTGAAGTGTATACGTTGGCTGGGACTGCTTCTTCTTCTCTTTCTTCTTCTCCGCCTTTTGGCTATCTGTTTTGTGTTAATCTTTTGTTTTGAATACGTTTTATCTCTGCGTCTGCTTTTGTGTGAATGTGTGCGTGTATGCTGGCGAGATGTGTCGTAGTGGCCGCCTCTTTCCTCCTCGTCATCGTATTTTTTGCACGTAATTCGCTTAGATATCGACTTCACAGCTGCTTTTTGTTTTGATATGCGAAATATTATATTCAACCTGCCCCAAAACTGGTATGGTATAATCGAAAAACTCTCGTATATAAAATCCCCGTCCAAAGCTGGTAAATTTTTCCATTCAAACTGCTATTGCTCCTGTAGATCGTACGTGTATGACTAATTGCCGTTTAAGTTGCACAAAATACCCATTGTACTTGTCCGGTTTCAAGTGGCTCTCCGCCTATTGTTTTTATCGCTTTTGTTTGTGGCAAGATTTAGCTTTCGTTTTGCCGACGAGCGGCCGAGACGAGACACTCGCAAATGATAACTGTTGTTGCTGTTCCCTCTGTCGCTCTCTCTCTCTCTAGCTCTCGTTTAGTCATAGTCGTAGTCACCAGTCCCTTTAAGCTCTAATCGCAGGGCTTTCTTTTTGAATTGCTCCTCATTGAATGCTTTTTTGTTGTTGCCAAGTGTTCGCAGAATTCCGTTTAATCTGGCTTTCGTTGTCTTATCAGTACAGTGGGCAGAGTTCGGGTCCCACCGAGGGACCGATGGAGGGGGCTACGCTTCAGATCTGGGCAGGCAGGCCTCCTTTTCTGTGCTTATTCTCCATTTGCATGCGGGTCAGGTTTACGACTTCGCCTCGATTCGTAGTTCCTACACCATTTACAATTTTCTTAACCATCTAGTTTTCTACCTGTTCTTTGTGCTGCCAACACATCAAGGGGAGTTCGAGTATGTTCTCTTCGACCGACACTGAATGTCTGTCTGGCTATCGTTGTCTAGTGTCTGAAATGTCAACAAACACATGGGAATGTGTTTTTTAATTGATATCACTACTTGTTTGTTTGGCTTTCAATTTGCACATTTTATTTTTGTGTTCAGTGCTTAGACCTTTTCGAATACACTAGCTTTATTCGCATTACGTTTCGAGAATGTTGCGGAATTTCCTCAAAGTTAATCAATTCGTAAATGGGGAATGACTGGATTGTTTCGCTGTGTTGTCATAGCTATATAATCGATGGCTATGTATAATCGGCTCCGTTCCACTTCCTTCTCTGATTTGCCATGCAAATATGCTTTCGGGCAGCAATATCTTCCGATAGAGCGCAGTTCTGTCTGGCTCCGCGTCGCAATTGCAGCTGTTTGGGGTCTCTCTGTTTCAGTGTCGGTCTTTGTCTGCGAGGTCTGTGCGTTGACCCACTTCAGGCACCTTATATACATGCATGAACATATGTACAACCGCTATACATGTACATATTTACACACAACACACTCAGAATGTGGAGCATCCCCTGGGGTACTGACTGGGGAAGTTCCACACATAGTTTTTGCGTCGCAATATATAGTACACATGCATGGATTTCCACCTCCTTTTTTATTTCCTTTGCTTATTTCGGTCTCTGTTTTATTGCCATTTTTCCATGCTTTTCCATTCCCATTGCCCCACAGTTTTTTCCGCTCTTTGATAAGGTTAGATTACGCTGAATAATCTTGATCTGTAGAGCGCTGCCTCGACTTGATCTTCAATCTTCGATCTTTAATCGCATTCAATTAATTGCCCGATTAGCTTGGCCATAAAATACACCTCTAGCCAAAAACAAAGTACATCGGGGTCGTGCTAGTTTGTTATGGAATAGCTCGAATTTTTGTAAATTCCAATTGTTTATATTTGGAAAGTTACAGTCTTGCCAAATATTTAAAACAAAAATTAGAGTGTGGAACCATCTTTATAAAATTATATGCTTTCATTTTTGCTGGATGGGCATACACTGGTGTTATTTATAAATTTTAATGGATTTTATAAGGATTTGGTCAAAGGCTTGTTGGTTTTTATTGAGTTCTTTCATATTTAAGTACATGAGGTAAAAAAATAGGCCGTACTGATGAAGAAAATAAATTTTCCATAAATCTTCAAAAAGAAAGGAAAATCCCCTTGAAATTTTGAAAAGTCTTGGACGCTCGGTATTTTTTGTTCAGAATGCTTTAAGATCTAAAGTTCTTATTGAAAATCGAGGATGGAAGAAGAAATCTTTACAAACAACGGGCATCATCAGTCTTGCAAAAAAGGATCAGTTCATGTCTTCCAAGGCCATATACGCTCTAATTGTTAAAGAAAAATCAGGTCTGATGGTTCATCGGAGACTTCAATATACAGACTTAACATACGTCCTGTCCATAGTCCGAAAAGTTTCCTTACTCCGAGTATAAAATTTGAAGATGAGGCAAAAAGTCGTTGAAAATCATTTGGCATGGTCTGGGACAGATGGGTCTTAAAAGTGGAATAATATATAATTGAGAGACGAAACAAAAATAAATCTTTTTGATAATCACTCCAGAAGCTGTATACAACGACCCAAAGGCAAAGAATTCGACTTCCGGTACACAAAGAAAATGGTTAAGAACGGAGGCCGGTGTATACATAGGTGTCTGAGGCTGTCTTTCTTGGCAGGCGTTGAGCCGGTACATCGCATAACTGATCCTGTGATCCAATTGGGGTATAAAAACATATTGGCAGACATTTTGCAACCTTATGCTGAGGAAAACATGCCTTTGAGATGGGTCTATCTACAGGAAAATTATCCAAAGCACACCTCAAAGCTGGTCAAGGCTTGGTTTACGGGAAAAAATGTAAACGTTATGGCTTGGTTTAGTCAGTCTCCTGACTTGAACCCATTTGAAAACCTTTGGGGTGACTGGAAACGTCTTATTGGTAAAAATACTTTTTAAATTGAACAAAAATTGTGGAGAATTTGTGAAAAAAACGTGGTATGAGATTCCAGTGGAGACTTCCCGCAATCTTATTGCTAGTATGCCAAAAGGAATGGCCGAAGTCATCCGAAATAAGTCTAGCTATATAGGATACTAGTAAAAGATTATAAATTATAAGAAAAAAGTGGAAAAATGTTGATACGCTTTTAGTTTTTCGCTTTGTAGAATTGCTGTACTTATTATTTTGGTTATTTTAAGGTTTAATCGATTATAAAATATATATTTGAAATGAAAAATGCTTATGATAAATATTTGTGTAGTCTATTGTAGATTAGAAAACTAAAAGTAAATTTGATTTTTTAATTATGTTTATTAGAAAAGTTTTATAGGACGTGAAAGAAAGCTCATAAGTGTGTACCTATTACTTTGGCTAGTAGTGTAGCTCTGTAGAGAGCCGGAGTGTGTCTTTAGACTGACATTTTCCCCCGAAACTCTGTAAATATTGAACAAAATAAACAAGTAAATAAATGATTTATTTTAAGGCTTTCGTTAAAAATAACTTGTGCGAGTAGCCTTAGCTCTTGAAAAGCGATAATATTTCTCCGTATTGTTTTCGCGTAGACAAGACAATGCCCGTCGGTGGCGGCAGCGGCATGAATCACTCAAGTTAATGAACCTCATCATCGCCGCTTGAACCTAACAGAATGGCCGGCGTCGTAGTCGTAGTCGCAGTTGTTTTTAATCGCTTTGTGGTTCCCAGAAGTCGGGCGAAGGGTCGTTCCGCACAGTAGTTACTATCTGATCTGTGGCCATATCTAAGTTATCTATACCGCTTAGGTCTGGGCCCCGACGCCCCAGGTAAACACGGTGCAGGTAATAATTGCAAGCAAATATGCATCAGAAACACAGACAGAGAGAGAAAGATAGATTTTGTTATCTTTATGACGTCTGCAGTTCCATGTTTGCAGTTCCGATTAGATGGAGGGAGAGAGCGGAGAGTGGTGGCAGCCTGTCTGCAACGCAATTCCGTCTGCGATCCTATCAACGATCTACAGATGCTCCGTACCTATGCCCGTGCCACACGCTTGAAAAATTGAGTTCCCTTACCCGTCCCAGTCCCCCCGTTCGCATCCCAATTGTATTCCATTATAAATACGCTTCATTAAACGATTTGATTGCTATTGTCGGAGAGATAGACGTGCTTCGGATCGAATGATTCAGTCATCCACAGAGCGAATGATCTCTCAGCTGATTTGCTATTCGATCTGTGGGGAGGTGTTCATGACCATTGTTCCCTACGGCTTTCCAGTAGATCTCCGTGCAACTGTCGCATGTCCTCGCGCAAGTTGCATCAGAATTGTAACCGGAACAGAAATGCCGTGATCGCGTGTGGCATGACTCGGAACCATTCGTTGCTCCGGAGCGTGCGTGTTCCGTGGCGGAAATGACATTGAACCCGGCTTACCGCCTGCTGGCAGTCAGAATGCACTTGTTCCGATGTCGCTGGGGAGCCCGAGGCCCCGGGGGCAGTGTCGGAACCGGTTCAGTGCCCGATCAAAGCGATTAACCGATCAAGCGGGTCAGATTGTGGGTTATTCCATGGGGATTACGGCGAACATGGCCCATTTAGTAACGGAATTTATGATCTATATTTGCAGACAGAAGAACAAAGCCGCATCAGAGTGAACTGCGTCGAGCGGGCAAACCAGCAGCAGAAGCCACAAGGAGAAGAACCAGAGCTCGTTACACTGATTCGCGCGGCAGGGAATGGTATATTTCTTGGGGGATTGGGGCATGGGAGATTCTGACTTGTCGTCATATCAGCAGCATGTTCCAAATATACAGCAGCAACAGCGCATCCATGGACGTGATCTACATCAACAGCAGCAACAGCAGCAACAGCAACAGCAGCAGCAGCAGCAGCAGCAACAGCAGCAGCAGCAGCAGGAACTGGTTGCCCAAATCTCCACCAGCCTAAGCCAGTTGCAGTCTCAGCTGCAGTTCGCCAGCGGCTCCAACTTCCTACAGCAGCCAGGCTCCACGGCAACGTCGGTCTCTCCCTCAACACCCCATCACCATCAGCACCTTCCCCAGCAGCAGCTGCAGCAGCACCATGTTGTTGGCCCAAGGAGCACTAGCACCTGCACCAGCACAAGCAGCAGCCTGGTAACCGCCAATCTCCAGCAGCTGTCGGTGAGCAACAGCAACACCAGCAGTTCCAGCAGCACTGTCAGTGGCAGTGGCAGTGGCAGTGGCAGTGGAAGTGGCAGCAACAACAACATCAGCAGACAGCTACAGCAGCAGCCATTGCTGGACACAGTAGCTGCTTCAGACGGAGTATCTGGGGTATCCGGCGGCTCCAAGGGCCATCCATCGTGGCTAAGGCAGTGCTCGGAGGCGTCCGTCGACGGCAAGCCAAAGCAAGCCTCCTCTCTGCTCGGCAAGGATTCCCTCGAAAATGAAGATGAAGTGGCGCTGCATCCGCTCTCCAATCAGGTTAGTACCCCCTCCAAGTAAACGCAAACGGTTACGATTATGATTAGTGCAAACTGCATGTGTATTTATTGGAAACTGTCCGCTCTAATAAGTGGAGCCGCTGGCAGGCAGCGTCGTGGTACGCCTCTGATCCCTGAGCAGCGCACTGTAGAGGGACTGAAAGAACTCCTCGACTCCGGCGTAGGTGTGCTTTTCGATGAACGACTGGACCACCGCCCACACAGGCTTGACGATCTTGACTTGGGCCAGGACCAGGATCTTGGTGTGCCCCTCGGGGGTGCCGCGCAGGCACAGGTGCATGGCGACCATGAAGGAGTCCGCATAGGGAATATCCGCATTGACGCTGGTCGCATCGATGGAGTAGAGTTGGCCGGGGCGGGTGCAGTCGCGCAGGGTCTGCGTCTCGGTGACCTTGGCCACTTTGGGGCCGACGTTGCCCTTGAGGGCGACGGTGACCGTGATGACGCGCTCGTTCAGACCTGCGGCATTCTTCCGCCACTCGCCCAGCTTGAGGTCCGTCGAATTTCGCATCTCGTGGAATTTCTGGAAGAAGGGCGACGTAGCGGAGAACAGCATGTTGAATAGCGTGTCCACGTGGACCCGCATTTTCTCATTAAGCACCTTGCGGCCCTCGTGCAGTGCGTTACAGTTGTATTTACCCTCCAGTGAGTCCCTAATTGGCATGATCACCTCCACAACTGTCATGCCTCGCTTTGTTGTGATGCCCTGATCCGCGTTAGACGGTCTCGCGTTAGACATTCTCTTCTTCGCCTTGCCCCCAGCCACCATGTAATTGTTTTGGTCGAAGGCCACGGACTTGGCTTTTATGTGCCTGGTGGTCCGCCTGCGCCTGGCTAACGAAGTTAGTGATGCATTCGTAGCCCGGGAGATGGATCTGCTGCTGGCCGCGGTGGTGTTCCTGGTTAAGGGCTTGCTGGTCGATTTCGAGCGCTTGGCGCCGCCCCACTTCCCAAAGCGAAACCGCAGCGACTCCATGGCGCCGGTGACGGTATCCGCGAGTTTCTACCGGAGACTGTCGGGCATTCGCCACTATGGGGTAGGGACGTATTCCAAATGTGATTTTCCTGACAATGAATAGAAACAAATGACATTTGCAGATGACTGATATCTCAGTCGTTCTGCCCCTTATCTGGAGATAGTGTCTCGCAGCGATATGAATTTTTGTTTGCCCAGTGGATATTCTGTGCTGTTTCTCCGCTGTTTATGGAGAAATAAGCTCCGGCACTCGCTCGAGGCTCCAATGGACTTTTCGCACTTTCGCTGTCCGAGCACTTGAGCTTCCACAGATTAAGACCGAGAAATGACGTAGGAGGCGATAAGATTCCGTCGGTTATGGCTATGGCACACGCGTCAGCGTCAGGGCAGGCCTGGACGGTGGAATAGTTCAAAAATTGCCACAATTTGGAAAAGTTGAAAACTCGACAGTAGATCAGTGGATGTTGGTGTTTAATGTCGGATTCGGTGCTTCTTTCTTGCAGGTCGGAGGACACACTCGCCTGTTGCTGCTCAACCAGTCGACGGTGATCAAGCCCCTGAACTTGCGGGAGTTGGACTTCTACCAGAACATTCCGCAGGACATACTGAAGTTTGTGCCCAAATACAAAGGTAAGATACCGGCCTTTATTGCCACCCCCCAATCAGATCAGATCACAGATCAGATCGCAGCGATCACACGTTCAAGAACTACCAACTTATCGATTCAATCGAAGCGCTTCATTTGATCTTTCGTTTCGAAACAACTAACCGAATCGTTCTACTTAATATGTAGTATATCCATGAAATCGAGTCGAAATTAAAACGAATAATAACAGTAAATGAATCACAAAATGAATGAATGAACAGCGAGTCTGAATACGGCTTGAATCGCGCCAAGCAATTGATTTGTCATGTGTCTTGAGTCTCGAAATCGCCAATTTGCTATATATACACACACACACACACACATACATACTATATATCGTAGAATGTATATCGAACTTTTGTTTCTGTACTAACTCGCAACAACAAAACAAGCAAGCAAAAAATTATGAAAAAGCAAACAAAAAGAAAACGAAAACAATATGCGTTGTATCCTCTTGTATCGTCCTTAGATAAAGCCAAAGTCGCATTTGAATATCATTTTTATTTTAAGTATCTTTTTTCTCTTACATATAAAAACCTAACAAATATGTGATACATCCATAGTCTGTAAGTTGTTTTACTGAAATGGAAATACAATAAAACAGAGCACAAAAAAGAAAACCAAAAAAAGAAAAAAAAAAAAATGAAATGAAATGAAAAACTGAGGAAAAGACTGAACCATTTAAATACATCTTAATATGTAGCTAAATCATAGCTTTAACGAATACGAATTTGTAATACGAAAAGCGAGATACGAAAATAAAAGAGAAAACAAAAAAGTTGTATCTGCCACAGCCAGAACCAGTACCAGAACCAGAACCAGAGAATATTATGATAAAAAACCAAAACCTTTTAGTTAGTAACCGAAAAACAGACAGCAAGTCGGGTAAGTCGCAAAATAATAAAAAAAAAAAACAAAACTCCAGAGAAGCCACTCTAAAGTAAAAGTAAAGTAACGTAAAAGTAAACCACCTGCAAACTGTGAAATCCCCCATTCAGATTGTACAATTTTACAATTTTTGATTGCAAAAATTCTACAAATTGAAATTGAATGAATAACCACTAAGGCCAGCAGCCACTACACCCTCGATTCGGGCACTCTATAGGTGACTGGGTCGGGGGTCGTGGGTCGGCCCCTTGCCACTACATAAACATACGCTCTATGCTCGTATTATCCAAAGGTTCGAGGTGCCTGACTGACAGAACCGATCTCGAGATCTGCCGCTGGCTGACCCAAGCAATATCCAAGCAGAACCAGAACCAAACCGAACCGAACTGATCCGAACCGGAGAGAGAGAGAGAGAGAGTAATATCTTTAAAAACAAACAAAACCAAAACAAATTGCAATTTTTCCAATCTATTTTCCGAAATGCAACAAACAAAATCGAGTCTTATTTCATGTGTTTGTTCAGAACGCACATCGTGCTCGTGCTCGTGCCGCCCCTGCAACTTCCCCTCGAACGTTGTTGTCGTAGCCGTCGCCGTCGTCTCCGTCTCCGTCTTCGTATCGGTCTCCCTACCGATCCTAACCGATCCGATCGGCCCTGCTCTGTCTGTCTCCTGACCTCCACGTCTCCGAGACTCTCACAGCCGATTAGAAATGCAAGCGAGCCAAAGCCAAAGCCAAAGCGAAAGCAAGACAATGGCCGAAAAGGGTTTGTATGAATAAAGCTCTCTATCTACTATCTATTTTACATACCTACTATACTATGTTAATTACCACTCCACAATTTAAAATTACAATTACAACTACAGTACGATACAATCCAGTTACAATACGATTATGTTAGCTAAGATGTTCCGATTTCCTTTAAGTTAATTTACTCTTAAGTTTAGGGCACCCAAAAACCATCATCCACCGAAGGGAAATTTGAATGAAATTCATTTTTGAGTACCATACCGCCTCCTGTTCCCCCTGCTCCTCCTGCTTCTCCTGCACCTGTCCTTGCGTTGGCTCGTTAAGTCTCTCACTGTTTGCACTCACTGGACCTAGATTAGGTCTACGATTGGCTATAACTTTTTTTTTATTATTACAACTACGATACATAACCATACGAATGTCTGTGGGAACCCTTCTGTTTTTGTCTGATGTTTAATAGAAATCATTCCATCAATGTCTGAGGATGAGTTTTGCTCACTTGAATATGGCTTTGTCTGTTCCACTGTCGATCCACTCTATCCATTTGTCTGCTAATTCGTTTGGATAACTTTTTGCATAAGTCAGGGGGCAGCCCGCTGTTGGTCCGTTGCCTCCGCGTCCATATAATACATTCGCCTAACGTAACTCCTAACCCGACCCCACTTGTCCTGTCGTGTCGATTCGATGCTAAACTACATACAACTACAAGATCAAGATCAAGCGACGCCTGTGCTCAGCAACAATCCACTAATCGCCGTCCCGGTCCCGACTCTATATCTATTCCAGGCGTCATGCAAGCCACCAGCATGGGAGGCATTAAGCTGGACAAGCGATACTCGCCCAGTTTCCGGGATGACGCGGCCGCCGTGCCCGTCCGCAAGATGAGCGCCTCCAAGAGGAAGCGGGACGAAGTGCTTAGGTAAGTCAATCAATCAATTAGCCATGAATGAGAACCAGCTATACGGGAATACATTTACAGAATGAAGGTCCACAAGAACGGCAACGCAGCCGATGTGATCAAGAGCATCTCCCAACTTGACAACTCCAACAAGCAATGTGAGTATTCCATCTTTGTCTTGGGAATCGTTACTAAACCCCTCGCCCTTGCAGACTTCCTTATGCTCGAGAACATCACCTCGCAGTTCCGCAATCCCTGCATTCTCGACCTGAAGATGGGCACCCGCCAGCACGGGGACGACGCCTCGGCGGAGAAGCGCTCCAAGCAGATGGCCAAGTGCGCGGCAAGCACATCGGGCTCCCTAGGTGTACGCCTCTGCGGCATGCAGACATACCAGGCCGATCTCGAGCAGTATGCCAAGCGGGACAAGTACTGGGGCCGGGAACTGAAAGAGGATGGCTTCAAGAAGGCCCTTCATGATTTCTTCTACAACGGCTTCCGGCTGAGGATCCGCGTGATCCGCAAGATCCTGCAGCGACTGCTCCAGATGCGCAGAGTTATTGAGAAGCAGTCCAGCTACAGATTCTACTCCTGGTAAGATCGACACCTCAGGTTTCCCGATAGTTTTGTGACTTACTTTCCATGTTTCCCATGTCCACATCAGCTCCCTGCTCATTGTCTACGAGGGCTTCGAGGAGAATCCGATGGCCTACCCTCCATCGATCAGCCTGGATGAGTGGCCGGAGGCCCCCAAGTCGGCGACCATCGCGACAACGGCCTTCGACTATCATCCGGAGAACAGCATAGATGATGACGACATCGAAGACGAGGACGAGGCGGGAAATGAGGCAGGCGACGAACTGGAGTCCCATGACACGGATGAGGACCTGCACCTGGTAGCTGCTGACAGCGGCAATGCCTCGGCCACTAATAGCAGCACGGGTGGAGATGCCTGCAACTACGATGCTGATGCATCGAACGATTCCAGCGGTCTGCTGAATCTGGCCACTCGTCGCCATCTGCACAAGCGCGGTTTTGGGGAAGCAGCGGCCCGAGGGGTCAAGCAGTCGTCGGCCATCATTACCACCACCGACGAGGAAGAGGATGAGGAGCAGGCGCACCCGGCTGCTATGCCACCGCCACGAAGCTGTGGCGTCACGGCTGCGAAATCAGCGGGCGCCAAGGGTCAGAGCAGCAGTGTGCAGCCCGCACCCGCATTCATTCCAATTTCCGAAGAGACAGTATTCCTGGATCCAGAGCCAGCTTTGCCCAACGTGGCCACCTCATCGCCACATTCCGGTGACTCCTGGATGAACTACAGCAGCAACAGCAGCGATGACTTCTCCGGCCTGTCCGAGCAGATCAAGGCCGTGGCCAGCGGTCGACAAACATGTAAGGATGAGACAATCTTCCAATGTTGCCAGATGTTTAACAGTTCATTTCTTCCATAGGCAACAACAGCTCTGACGATGCCAGTTCCGACTATGAGGGCAGCGTCATTGGATCCACAGAGGCCATGTTTAAGCGCTACAAATCGTTCGATGCGGCATCAGCAGGCACCGGAACTGAGCCAACGTCTCCTCCACACACTGCCGGTAACTCGAGTGTCTCCAACGGCGGCACCGTCAAGTCTCTGGTTTCACCCGCCTCCTCCAGCGCCTCGTCCCTCAAATCGGTAAAGGGAGCTGTCAAGCGTCTGCGCTGCAAAGACGACGACGAACATTATGCTGCCCACGATGACTGCGACTCCAGGGAGGCCAAAAAGTCTACGATCACCTCGACACCCGTCTCCACCGTCTCGTCGCCCGCAAAGACGGCCCCGCAGCGCAGCTGTGAGAACATTGCGAACTCCATGATGGCAGGCATACTCTTGGATTCGCTGGAGCGTCGTTCCAGTGGCAGTGGCAGTGGGAGTGCCGGTGCTGAGGGGGAGAACAACAACAGTGGTGGCATTGAGCCGCCACAGCGTAATTCTGCACTGCTTCAGCATGGCTCCAAGTCGCTGGACATGTCGGCGCCACCCACAGACGACTCGCAGTGCTTTGTGGACGTTCGCCTCATTGACTTTGCTCACACAGCGTTTGTGCCACGCAATGGCAGCATGCTACCCACTCCGCCCGTGGCCCCCGTTCACCATGGACCTGACGGCGGCTTTCTCACCGGCCTGGACAGCCTCAATCGACTGCTCAATGAGATACTGGCAGAGGACAGGATCTAGACAGAGTTCGGGGAAAAGAAGTGAAAAGAAACAGGGAGTGGAAACTAGAGCGGAGAAAGGAACACAAGTTAAAAGTACAATTTAATTTCAAAATACCTAAATTGTTGTAGCAACATGTGTTAAATTATGAAACAAAATCAACTAATCTTTAGAAATTCGAAATGTGATTCAAAAGAAACCTATTTAACCAGATATAGCCCCCCAAAATGAATGGAACCTCTTTTAACCTATAACCAAGCATAACCTTAAGAGCAGAGCAGAGATTGGAAAAGATTTGGTCCCCCTTGATTTTTCAAAGCATTTGCCAGCAAAGAACCCAACACACTACAAAAATGAAAAAAAAAAACCATAAAAAACGCTTCCAAAAGTAGATGAAATGTTTATAGATTGATAGATTGATTGAATGTTCGTGCTTTCTGCATTTCCAGATCAGAATTAAGCTTAAAAGTGTTCGATGGAACTGAATATGATTTAACCGTTTGTGAGAATTCTTTATGAATATACACCTATATATGTATTGTATTTTAAGAGTGATTAAGGGGCATGCGGATCATGCGTTTTTGTAACTAGCTTTTACAATACAATGCAAAATGACAAACCAACAAGAGTGTAAGGAACAGTATTTCGTTATACGAGAATGTATCTATTGTATGCTTTAAACCGATTTCCTTTTTCCAATGGTAGTGACAGTGTTTTAAAGTGAAGGAGTTCATCTATTAAAATAACCACAAACACAATGTATAAGTTAATTAAAAGAATCGCTATTAATATATATGTAAATCCTGCAAATATTACTATTACTTATTGTGTAACTAGAGAATTAAATGAAAAATAATTCATGTATATTTTCACTTAAGCACGTTTACAAATTACAAATGTTCTACTGATTTACGTTTAAATAATAAAGAAATATTCGAAAAATTTAATCTAGCAAACGCTTTTTTCAAATATCGATAGACAATATCTTGGGCACACTCCTTTTGTCATTTTTTAGCCCCTTGTTGCGATATATCGATAAGTCAGCTGGGAAACCCTATCGTCACATTGATCATCTCTAGACAACTGTGTGTACTTTATTAATTTTATTTTTCTGATATTTTCTCCGAAATTCACAGGGTGAAAGGTGTTATTACAGTTACAGTTGCATTTAGAGCTTATTGTGCTTAATTCCTATTCATTTTATTTTGCCCAGTAAGCCGAAGAACTTTCAAAACATAAACATTCTTATGTAATTGTTCAGGGATAGGTTAAACTTGCAAATTACACGAAGAATCTAATTGATTTGGTTTAAATTCCAGCAAAGGCACAGCAAACAATGGGCGGACATCACGGAGAACCCTACAAGGTGCCACATCCATCGATCTACAAGGTGGCAAACGTGCCACAGCTGGTGGAAGTGAAAGAAGCTCTGGGTCGCCAGGGATTGAGTGATCCATGGCTGAGGTAATTGCATTCAATTGCGATGTATTTGCTGTCCTATTTGATATTCATTGTTTGGATTCTTTTAGGAATGAAGCCTGGCGCTACGAGAAGAAGGCCTTCGGCACCCACAGATCTCGTCTGAACGCCTTTCTCTTCCGCGGTCTCGGCGTTGGCTTTTGCGCCTTTCTTGCGACCATCGCCGTCGAGTACGGTTTGGGCATTGGCAAGGGCCAGGGCGGCCATGGGCACGGTCACGACGACAAAGGCCACCATTAGTGAAATTAAATAAACATGTGTTACGCTCTGAATTAATTTTATTCGCAGTTCATACTGTCGATTAACTCCAAACTAAAACAAGCCTCCAATCAATTGATCCTTGGCTTTAATTCCTCGTAGCACGAGCGCAAGAAAATTTGTGGCTTCTTTCCTGGATTGAAGTACTCATGGCCCTTCGACCAATCGTATCCAACCGCGTAAGCGAATATTTGGCCATTCGAATTGAATCCGCACTTGGTTATAGACTGATCCATGGCATCACTAGACTTGAGCTTAGTACGGGCGTCCTTATCCCAGAAGCTGAATGTGCCATCAGAGCCGACTGTGACCAGAGTGCCATGCACCGGATGGAATGCTATGTCGTTTACGGCGTAAATGTCCTGGAAGCCAGAGGTGCTTGTGGAGCGATGACACTTGAACGTGAAGTTATCTTTGGGATTAGCCGGATTCACGTATTGGATGGCTACGCGACCCTCAATACTGCCCAAAGCGTATCCAGTGGGCTCTTTTTTCTTATCCCTAAAAATCGATATGGTGCGATGCTGATATTTCAATGGACTCTCCTGCCGCTTGTACTCGCTAGGAGTATTCTGCAGCGAGTATATGATTAGGCCCCGCGATGCAGTGCCCACAACGGCCATGGGATACTCCACATCCGCACAATAGCAGCGTTCAGGTAAGTTGATTGCCATCATTGGGTTGGGCGATCGGGTATCCCAAAACTATTTAACAAAGGAATTAGGTTTTAGTGTATTGGACCTGAGGGAATGGCAGAGGCTTACCTTCAATGTTTTATCCCAGGATCCTGTCATCAGACACGTGTAGTTCGGCCCCTTTACCATGTGACATGTTTTTACTGGCCCATCGTGAGCCGCCACTTGCATTACTTGATCCGATCCCAAGTCCCAGAGCTTTACTTGTTTATCGCAGGACGCCATAAACACTTTCGTACCATCGTCAGACCAGCACACATCGAGCACTGGTCCGCCCATTGATTTTATTGATTTTGGCACTGTTGCTCCATTCTGTTCCACCTCCCAACAACGTACGCTGCTGTCCCAGCTGCCGGCAATCAGGAAGTTTTTGGAAGGCAATGTGCTTGGGCTGAACTCCAATGCCGAAACAGAGTCGTCGGGCGGCGATGCCACCTCGAAATCGTTCATGCGATTCGATGATTGTGTGGCCCCAAACATGATTTTATTCTTTAAATGTCGCAAAATTGTTAAGTTTTTGTTGTTGTCGTCGCGAATGTTGTATTGTGTATTGCTTAAAGATGACAGCAGATTAGAGATGCTAAATATATATCAATACATCGATAATATATATGTGGGTAATATTTTTTAGACTGGCGAAATTATTATTGTGTGGATTTTTTTTATCATCTATTATCAATTGGGATATAATTTACGCTATTTTTGTGCTGCTTCACTTCGCGAGATAAGATGTGCCGACTTTTATTTCTGCTTATCGACGCACAGGGTAGCTTCACAAAATTATCGGTATTTTTGTGCGATAAGCGGAACTTATCGGCGTTCTATTTTTAAAATAACAATATTGTAACCGAGTTTGATTGGCATTTATTAAAAAATCATGTTTTTCAGTCATAAAATCATCGAGATACAGTATACAGTAGAGGAACCTGCCTCTGGTGAATTGGTGAAATCAAATGAAAGTAGTTTGCAAAATGTTAACATCAATGAAACGGTATACCAAAATTCTCACTCCTGCCTAAAACCTGTTGCAGATAACACTCTTGTATAGAGTGCCAATCATTTTCCTTGCAAAATAAATATCAGGAATGCTCTTCTGAGTAAAATAAGACACAGGCATTCCACGCATAGCGGATCCAATCGATTGGCAGGACTGTCCCGATCACGAAAAGACATTTCAGACAGATCGGCCATGCAGAAATAGACATGTATCTTAATTATTTGCAAAAGCAAAAGTTCAGTTCGACTATATCTCGACAAAACGGTGAAGAACCTACTTAATGGTGTCGGTTTTTGCCCTACTTAGTTATGTAATGGGGTTGGATTTATTTAGAAATTATGGCAAAATCACAGGCCGTGCTGCGAATACCCTATTTAAATGTCGCAAAATTGTTAAGTTTTTGTTGTTGTTGTCGCGATTGTTGTATTGCGTATTGCTTAAAGATGACAGCAGACCAGCAGATCACACCAGCTACATATATGACTGGTAAATATAGCCAGATCGAGTGTAAATCGTTTCTTTATAAAAGTGGATCTGAGGACTCGGGCTTTACAGCTGCTCTGTTCACCTGCTTCTGTTTATATCGCCGAGTATTACTGTATCGAATGATGAAGCCACAAATGTATGAAAGTGGTTTAAGTTACTTTTGTATTGCATCATCCCTCAGTAGAGGAAGGGCTGCATCATCTTAATGAAACTCGAAGAATACGTTTAATTCTGCACCACTGTTAAATATTTTAGGGATGTTCTTGGACGATTCTAAAAAGAGTTCTAAATCACTAAAAAGAATACCACATAAAAGCGAATGATATGAACGCTTTATCTTTATATGTATACTGAGGCATCGTATCCCGTTTATACCGCCTAGTACCAGTAGATAAGCCCGGAATGAAATTATGTTGTCAGTGCGGAAGTTAGGTCCGATGGGTAGATCTGGTACGTTGGGAACCCCATATTTGTTAAGCAGACTTTAAATATAGTATAACAAAAACAATTCAGTGTATATTATATTATACCGCATACCTGTCCACACAATAAAAAGGTAAACACAGTTTTTCGGGTACTACACTTTGTTGCTTTGTATTCAGCTGTCACCTGTGTAAAAAAAAAATCCCCCAGAATTGATATTCGGCACTCAATTTCCAAGGGCAAATTTTAGTAAGAGCGAAATTCATTTATATAATCATCATATTGATATTGATAAAATCACATACATACGTGTTTAGGTACTTATTTACACGGGGTGCTTTTTCCAGTGACAAAGAAAATAGGTCATTGAGATTGAGAGCGGGGGATTGCTTGAAAACCACAAACATCAACCTCGCATCGCAGTGAGTAAGAAATTAATTCTAAGAAGTTATGAATGGGAATAAGACAACTGAGTATAACAGAGTACGAGCAATGCCCCCGCCGAAGAAAACTATATTATTTGCACAGTTGCTGGGGATTTTACCCAGCGCTTCAATGTGATCGATTGGGGGACTTTTCCGAGACAAAAATATCCTTGGCTGCTTCTTTGAAAAATAGAAAGAGGAACTCGTATAATGATTTCTTGTATATTAATATTGTGGTTTATTTAATCAGATTATTCATTCTTGGAATGAAGCACAATCTTTTTTCATTATGGGGTATGCTACGGCTATAAAAGTAGCTCTAATCAATGTGCACTTAATCATTAACTACTTGGCGTATAATACTTTACAATGCTGAGTGTTATGTTTGTAGCAGTCGGAATTTGCATAATATAGGACTAATGACTACAGTCGGTAGGAACCATTTAGTACAGAGGCAAGAAACAATTACATTATTAGTCTTTGGCCAGGTTGACTTTGAGAGCTCCCTGTCTCCTCTCCTCCTAGGTTCATATGCTCACATTGATGGCATTCTTGATCACAATATTCCCGGCCACGCCATTCACAATCGTGAGATTGTTGTCGATCTCAATACCCATCGATGGCGTCTGCTTGGGCGTCTCCTTGAATTTGGGGGTGTGGGTACGCTTGCTGGGCTTCTTTCCGCTGCTTTCGAGATCCAGAGATTTCACCACCTTCAAGAGGCCATTGCAGCCTGTGTAGTCGACGCTCTGCTGCTGGGAATCACTGCCCAAGTAGATGCGTCCGTCATTCCCCGTATACTTGATGGACCCACTATTGCTCTGGATTTTCAATCTGGTGGCGTTGCCGATGACCTGAAGATAGCCCGTGTTGCTGACAATCCTTATCCGGTTGCAATTGCCGATGATACGCAAATCCCGGGTATTATTCTCGATGCGGTACTCCTTGCAGTTGCCCACCAGATCCTTGCTGATATAGCTGGCACCCTCTGGTGGCGAAGGGCTCCTCTTGCCATTGCCACTCTTGGGCTTATTCGGTGCTTTATGTTGCTCTTTGTTGCACTTCGAACAGTCGTCATCGTCATACGAATCACTGGCCGAATCAGCCTCTATCACACGCACGCCCATTTTGTGTGAATTACCTCAGTTTTCGTCGTTTCTTTCCACTGCTAATCAACCAGGCAAAAATCACCGCCGCTGTAGTCCGGTTAGCAGTTGCTCATTCTCTGTATCTCTACTCGTATATCTCTCTGTGTGTATGTTTGTGTGGTGCTCAGTTCGGGTCGCTCGCGGCCTACGGCTCTCTGGAAATGGCTGCTAGGTGATGAGCAATCCGACGGTGGTCCCCGGCTTTGGTTTGTTAAGGTTATAATATCCAATTGTGTTTTTTGTTGCTAATAGCGTTCAGCGATGCGCGTTGATAATGATCGGGGAACGTCTGCTTCCGCAAGGGGAACTCCCGCTGTTTTGTATTTGAGTTCACTTTCGCGACGCGACTGGGTGCCAGATGTTGACTGAATGTTAGCTTGTGGGCTTTTGAACGATATCAGTGCCCGACGACCGCTTTTATACCGGCCCGATCGTCTCTGGCAGCAGTATCGGGGCTTTTTTATTTTCACCCGATGGCTGACTCGAAAAACACTTAGAAGGCATCAGAAAATTCATTTTTCGGGTGCTTCGTCTTTTGGGGAGCCCTCTGATAGGTCGATAATACCTATTGGAAGTGATTAATACTCACCTGCGGACACTTTGGAATGGGTTCACGAAAATGATTACCTTATTCATATTACCTGTGCTCTGGGCGGGTGCGGTGCATGCGACTATCAGCTGATAAAACGCAACCAAAAATGTGTGGGGTTTTTTCAACTTCTCTTATCGTTTGTTAAAACTGTTGATTCCAGTATCGGTCATAAATTTTGTCAGCAACAGTCGCATAATTAGAACACCCGAACGACAAAAGGTAATAGCCCTAGATTAGACGATAAAGTTGTCCGCAGGGAAAGATTCTGATCTATGTACCTATGATATGATATGCATTTGTAAGTATAGTCCGAAGTGTTAGTTGCCAGGCAAGATATGTAGTTTCACTGTAGCTCCCATTACTATGTACACCTGTACATACTCGTACATGCATATTTATCGAAGGCATTCGCTTCCCACTCGCAATAATATTCGCACCAGAAATTAATTAACATTTCCAGACAAAGTTCAATTTACCTCTTGCTTGCGCTCAGTATTCTCTCTCTCTCTCTCTCTCTCTTTCGAGTCGCTTCTCCAGATCTCTCTGCTTCGAGACCGGCTGTTCACTTATGCGTTTCAAGTTCAGATTAAACGTTTCATTTCGATTTCATTCGCCCGGCGAGCCGGATCGGAGCAGAACCTGAAAATGCGTATCAGACGTAGCATCGGATCGAATATGAAATTTAGCGTAAACATTTGTGCTAATGTTTGTTTATTGGGGGGAAAGCACCGCAACGCAATGGAGCCATATAGCGGCAATCGACGAGGCCACCTGAAATGCCCTGCATAATAAATGAAAGGGTTGGACCACAATAATACGAGGGGGTTGCGTCAACTGGTACTTTTTTGTGGTGCACTTTTCCGAGTGCAGTTGTTGACAAATCCATTATCTTTTTAGGAAAGTTATTAAATGATTTATTTTGCCTGTTCATCAATTTTAAGGCCGTAAACGGGGACTTTTCTGGAGTTATCTCAGTCACACTCGACAAAAGCCAAAGTCGAAATAAAAAATAATGAAACGAAACATTATTAAGTACAAATTGCTCAATTCTATATCAGCTACTACGTGTACTATAATATCAGATAGCCCGCGGTTCCAGCAGCTCTCTTACATCACAAAACTATCAGAAAGAATAATGAAATGGTTCGACCGAAAGAAAAACCCCCCCACGACATATCATAGACACCTGCAGCCGCTATCTAGCACGCGTCTGGTGGCAGTGCTCGCTCGCTCCCTCACGGGTGGAGCAGCGCAAAAATCACCAATGCCAAACAATTGTATCTGTTGTTTAGATCATTAACACGAACCTTTGTTTGTTGTTTTTGAGGATCTATAACAACATTATTGTGTCGTTTACCAACAGACATCTGATAAGTTGTGAACATTTTTAGTACGTTATTTCGCAAAATATGGGAAATAGTAATTGCTCGAAGAATATATGCATATTTGTGGAACCGGTAGGATGATCTCATCAATTTCAAATGCCCGCCAAAGTGCGCACAAAATAAAGCTGCGAACATATGTTCGCTTGCCATTCGCCTGCTTGCGATAAGTATACCATCTCTATTAAATATTGTTGTGAGCTTTTTATTGTGAAACTTGAAATTTCATTTGTAAATATATATAAAACCCGCGTTCAATAGAAGAAGACTATTGCAAATTAGCCGGGTAAGCGTAAAGATCTCATAAATGAACAGTATTCTAAACCTACTATCAGATCGCAGGATGGAGTCGAATTCAAGTGTTTTGGCAATTGGAGACGAGACCAGCGAACCTTCAGAAAGAGTGACCGGTCTTACGCACAACGAGTACACATTTAAGGAAGAATTCCAGATCCGTTTGCAGAAGTTATTACTTCCTGATCCTCCTCTCCTGGCAACTAGAGCTGATCCAGAAAAAGTAGAAAGATTTGAAGGATCAGTTTTTAAGAAAAATGGTAAACAATACTATGAATTCGGTTCACAGAACTCCAGACATCAGCATGTCATATCTGGACCAACGTTCGACCCAAAAAGTGTTGCATTATTAGTAAAGAATCGGATCAGTAAAGAGCACTGGGTAAATGAATCAGTGATTGAGTCTAAAATGCAATGGGGAGAGGTACAAGAAATAGTTTCTGATTGTTTAAATGAGCAAGACAATCGTGTATATTATTATTTGCGTTATTTGCTAGAAAATCGTAAGCGGTAAAACATTTTTACACGTTATATATGATGTGTTTTAAGTGCATGTACCTGAATAAATGTTTAATACAAAATCGCCCTTTAGCTTCCTATTTTTATTATTATTATTTACATATGTATGCGGCCTCCAATGCGCATTGGAATGTACCTAACGTCACTCAGAAATTAGTCGGTAGATAATGTCCAATGTTACAAAAGTAAACAATTGAGCAGTATTTCAAGAAACTTTTACAGAAACTACTACTGTCAGCCGGAAAGGAAAATTTGGTGGAAAGGTTTGCAACAAGATAAGTCAAGAAAATGGGAAGCTTTGTTATGAGTTCGGTCCAGACAATTTCAAACCAGGATGTATCATAGAAGGATTCACGGTTGACGACAAAGAAGTTAGAAGAACACTGGATTAATGACAGCGTGATTGAGTCTGAAATGCCGTGGAATCCAGGTCAACAGTTTCAGAGAATTTATGCAGCAAAATCGTAGATAAATTTATTATAATATTTTATTGGTCGCTTGTGAAAATCATCTTAAATTGTTTAGAGTTTTGAAACAAGGAGTGAGGTAACGTTTAGTCATAAAAGACAACAATTTTGGCTTTAAAATTTCCGTCCTAATGTGCCTTCAAATAAGTGATATGATAATAAGTATTTGCCATTCCACGTAAATGAAGTTAAAAAGCACCATATAGTAGCACCATTCCCATCACTAACATTAAAAGCTTCTTTTTGTTGTGAAATATTTTGTATGATTTCGAGCTACCACTAAACAACCCGACCATTTAAAAGGTTGGCCCTCAGTGCTTATTGCCTAATTGTTGCACAGATATTCATAAAGAAAGCATATATTGTAGTAAAAAACGAACCAAAAGCAATGGAAGTCGAAACAAGCAACAGTGCCAGTAATGACTCCATTGATAAAATTGAGTCATCCCAAGCTCCAGTGCTGAATATTTCCGGAAGAAGTCGAGACACTCCTCGTATTAGGGGGAAGAAGAAGACGGCTAAAGATGCAGGGCAGGGACAGCCCAAAATCAGCCCTAGAACATTTCCAACGATCCTAAGTAGAATTCTGTTGAAATGTAGCTCTCCACCAGCCCTGCCCCCAAGAGATCCATACAAAATCGACTACACACAGAGTCTGGGTTTCCTGTGTGTAAAAAAACCAGTCGAACGGAAGAACTTATACCATATGTTCCTGTCTACGTCTACGCCTCTAGACAACGACTTCGAGAAAGTGAGTGCTATGTACAGGAACAAAGCAGACTTCAAAATTGACTTCCAATTCACCGTGGCCACAATCTGTGCAGGATCACTGTACCGCAGAGTTCAGAAACACTTTTCCGATGCTACGTGGAACAAGCAAAGGAATGTTTTTGAAATGGAAATGATTGGAGAGTGTGACGCCTATGGGGTTCAAAGTAAAGTGTATCAGATGCACGGTGAGGAAGTGGAAAAACTATTTAATTACATAAAGTACTTGAGCATTACAAAGAGCTGAACAAAAACTGTCTTTAAATATCTAAGTTGTGATTGTTTTTTACATTTTTATTAAAACTCCTCTTTAAACATACTTGTAGTATGGGCTATTTCTTGGTTAAAGCAACTTCCTATAACTAATCTTAAATTGTGTGAACCCATAGTGGCTCAGTAGCTGTTCTAGTATGTATCCGTTTGTTACAAAAAACACTGCGCCCTGCAGTCCAATCCAGTTGAAGCTGTTCCAGGTTTTGAACTCCAGCAGATACGCGGGGAGCAGCCACAGAGCCTGGGCCAGCAGCCAAAGGACCAACAGGAATATGGATCGGCTCCACGACAGGAGTTTGAAGTTGTTCAGGCATAGGGGCAGGATCGCCAAGTACCAGATGAAGTATTGTGAGGTCACCACGGAGTTGTAGGTAACGATTACAAAGGCCACGGTGAAGATGCAAAACGGCAGCGTCTGACGAAACTGGCCAAAGCTCAAGCTCAGGTAGAGAATGAGGCAAAACTGCGGAGCTACTACCAGTAGCTTCGTCAGCAACGCAGATTCCTCAACTGTCGCCGCGCTGCCCAGATATTGAAGCAAGAACTGCAGTGAGAAGTTGTGACGTGGGTCCTTGCGCACAAAGTGGTAGAGGTAGGCTTCGTAGATGTATTGCCAGCCATAGAGTGAATAGAAAGTCCACGTGAAGGCCACTAGACTGAGAAGTGTGCCTAGGACCAGGCAGAACTGTTGCTTGTTGGGGCGCATGATTTGGCGCAGGAAATCGAAAGGCGTTCGCGTTAGACGTGATGACAAAGACAGATAGTAGGCCAGACTAAATAGCAAAGGGTATAGTCGTAAATGGATAACTAGTCCGTGCGACAGTCCGGCGGCAAAAATGAGCCAATGCTTTTGCGACGATTTGTGTTCCGATCGAATCAGCAGATAGATGGTCAGGATCACAAAAAAGCTTGAAAAGCAGTCTCCGCTCCCGCGTGTGGATATTACTGCCGTCAGCGGATTGTAGAGCCAGCAGCATGCGGAGACGCGAGCGATGTTTTCTGGGTGACTTCGTTCATCCAGCGCATCGAGGGACTGGTCTGGTTCATGGGGTCTGTTGAACTTGCTGAGCAGATGCTGCACGGTCTTCTGGTACTGACTCTTGATCTCCATGTGCACCAGGTGATAAATAAGAGTAGCAATGAGTAAATCGAAAGTCGCGTAGAGTAGTTTTCCGCACGCCGGGTGTACCAATATGTTTAGTGTCTGAAGATATGCCATTATAGGGCTGTAACGATAGGTGTGCCTCGCAAACGGAGTGTCTCCCGCCAGCACTTGACGGGCTCCATCAGTGACCACTTTGTAGTCGATGTCCGTGTAGGGCACCGCAGACTTACTGTCGTGTATTTGTCCGTAGCAGATCAGAACAAGACGAATTAGAGCGGAGATCAGCAGATGGGTTCGAAAGGTAATATGCAGGATTTGACGGCCAAATCGTTGCCATCCGGTACTCGCCACTTTCGTTCGTAACATTTTGTTTATTGCTCTTCGTTTACAACTTTGTTTTTAGCTCCATTGCGCTCTTTCGAATGCAGCTCAAAAATTCCTTAAACTCGGCGTCGCAGATCTTATGCTGCACGTTCAGGTCGCGCGACACGCAAATTGCATATGCTGAGGCCTTGTCGGCACACTTTGTAAGCAGAATCGGGTAGTTGCGGAGACGTTGGTTGGCTTTGCGAACCGATTCCATTCCTCAACGTTAACGTTTGTGCGGTGGCACACGGATCTCACTGGGAGGCAAGGGATCTGCTATGAACGCGTCGTAAATGGGCTTGGAGAAGAATATGAGTAGCGAGCTCGTCAGGAAAGTGATCTGAAACAGTCGCGGGTTTCGCTGTATCCAAGTGCGCTTGGGCAGCACGGCTGTACGACGGCGCTGACCAGGTTGTTGTTGTGGCTGCTGCTCCTCCTTTTTATCTAACAAGTCTTGAATGTCTTTTGGAGGCTTGTACTGCGGTATGGACATTATTTTTCTCTGTTGGTAATGAAAGTTAGCGTGACTTACAGCATCAAGCGCATCAAAAACTCACGACTTGCCGGCACCTTTGGATGCTTCTGTTAAGTATGGTTTCTCCAAATCGATTCCACTGCAACAAAGCGATACCTTATGCCACTTTAGACAACATTGGCGCATAGCTTCGAGAACGTCAGCACACTTATCCTCCTGGTAATTATTTTCTGCAATGACGATTCTTAATAAGTGGCACAAGCTTACATAATAACAAAGGAAACGATTTCAGGTACGTACCGTTCAAACAGGCTTGTATGCGGCAGGCGTTCGCTTTGCAAGGATCCTTCTTGCGAGATGCAGACATGTAACAATATAGCTATTTTCATCGATTTTAAACGCAAACTAAAATTTCTTATGACATGTGTGTCTTCTTGCCAGTGATGTAAAAAAACATCGATGCATCGAGCATCGATGTTTTTCTGCCGATGTTTACTGATGTTTTCCGATGTTTTTGCTGCTACCGATGTTTTGCAAAATATCAGTCACTTCGTAGTCAACTCATAACCGTATATTTAAATAAGAATTATTAATAACCTTTTACTGACAATAAAACTTTACCTTATTCACAGAATGCTTTCGCCAGTTCATACACTGAACATGTAAAGGAACTTTTTGGATTGGATCCCAGGGTCGTCGGCTCTGGCATTCGGCTAGCGCCGCGTCATCATGAGCCAGCCACGACGCCCATTCATACGACTCCGAATCAAACGCTGGGCTACAGCTTCGAGACGAGTAAGTGAATCAGTATATAATTGTGGACACATTTTAAAAATATTTCTTCTTTCACAGAGGACCTATGTATCGTAATCGTATCCGACTTCGACCCGCCAGACGGGGTCCTATGAAATTATCCCAGCCGGACAGAATCATACCCCAACAAGACAGAATCGCACCCCGCAGCATCCGAGTATAACAAGCCATCGACAACAAGGACTTTGACTATGGCAACTAAGCGAGCGGCTACGCGGGCTACTGGACTCTAGATACATATCGTTGTTGTTAGGTTTAAGGATACATTCGTTCATACATTTAGATAGTATATACAAATTTTGTCCACTTGTTTATTTATTTATACTAACGAATCCTATACTAAGCTATGTTTTGATGAATAAAATGATTGAAAACTCATCCTTTCTTTCTTCTGTTTTGGGGACACTATCCCGGTTAAAGAAGTCGTGGCACGCCCAGATCGGTTCAAAAATAGCGGAGAAAAATAAATATTTTTGATTCGGGAAAATGTCCTTGATCCTTGATCCTTGATAAGGACTTCATCAAATCAGGGACATTATTTCGACCACAGGAAGCCGTCGCACGCCTAAATCGGCCCACAAGTCGCCGGAAAAACTAGATCTGTATGGTTCGGTTGTTGTAGTCCTTAGCGAAGGATCAAGGACATTTTTCTGATTGCAGAAGCTGTCGTACGTCGCGATCGGTCCTCGAAGGGAGAAAACAAGATATATATGGCTGGAGAAAATATCCTTAATCCTTGTTCCGTGATAAGGACTGCATTAGATAAAGGAACCTATTCCGAGTACGGGAAGCCGTCGGGAAGCCTAGATCGGGCTACAAATAACGGAGAAAACAACAAAGGTTGTTGTTGTCAATTGTTGTACAAAATTTGTTCTTGTTGTTGTACAACAACTTTCAACTAGCGACCGCTCAAACGGCCAAAAACGGGAATTTCAAATGTGGGATACCAGGTGAACAGAAATCAGCACAAGGTCCCTGGTTATACCCGATACTCAAAATGAGTATTGGGGTATATTAGATTTGTGGTAAAAGTGGATGTGTGTAACGTCCAGAAGGAATCGTTTCCGACCCCATAAAGTATATATATTCTTGATCAGCATCAATAGCCGAGTCGATTGAGCCATGTCTGTCTGTCCGTCTGTCCGTCTGTCCGTCCGTCCGTCTGTCCGTCTGTCCGTCTGTCCGTCCCCTTCAGCGCCTAATGCTCAAAGACTATAAGAGCTAGAGCAACGATGTTTTGGATCCAGACTTCTGTGATATGTCACTGCTACAAAAATATTTCAAAACTTTGCCCCGCCCACAACCGCCCCCACAAAGGGCGAAAATCTGTGGCATCCACAATTTTAAAGATACGAGAAAACAAAAAACGCAGAATCGTAGAGAATGACCATATCTTTTAGAATGCAGAATCTGAATTGGATCGTATTACTATTATAGCCAGCATCGAGAAAACAATTTCATTTTTTCTCGCCCTGTCTCTCTCCAACACACAGGTAGCATAGGCGGCTTTGCTTAGAGTAAAACATTAGCGCCTAGATCTCAGAGACTATAAAAGCTAGAGCAACCAAATTTGGTATCCACACTCCTAACATATCAGACCGAGACGAGTTTGTTTCAAAATTTCGCCACACCCCCTTCCGCCCCCGCAAAGGATGCAAATCTGGGGATATTCACAAATCTCAAAGACTATTAACGCTAGAGTAACCAAATTTGGAATCCGCACTTCTCTTAGATCTCACTATAAAACGTGTATCTCAAAATTTCGCCCCACCCCCTTCCGCCCACACAAAGGACGAAAATCTGTTGCATCCACAATATTGCAGATTCGAGAAAACTAAAAACGGAGAATCATAGATAACGACCATATCTATCAGATTGCTGAATCTGGATCAGATCAGATAATTTTTGTAGCCAAAAGGAACAAATCAATTTGCAGTGGCTACGCAGCGCGTGACATCACGCTCAGACTGATTTTCTGTCTCTCTCGCACGCACTCTTTGTCGTGTCGTTTAATATTAGCGGCGTCTGCCGGAGGAAAGCCATACTGACTTAGTATCGGGTATAACTGTAGAGTTGCGGTGTCCGCAGCAACTCACAACGTTCCCCCTCGTTTTTTTTTAAATTTATTTATTTTTCTCGCCATTTTTCAAAACCCACAATTTTGCAATGTTTTTTCATATTTTCTTTGGCCACTTTTCCGTTCTTCGGCCGCTCAAAATGGTAGAAAACGAGAATTTCAAATGTGGAATACCAGGCGAACAGAAATAGGCACAAAGTCGCTGGTTTTTTTCTAATTCCTTTTAATTATATTTCTCCATTTTCCATTTTGAGCAGAAATAACGTAGCCCGATCTAGGCTTCCCGACGGCTTCCCGTACTCGGAATAGCTTCCTTGATCTAATCCATTCCTTATCAAGGACCAAGGATCAAGGATATTTGCTCCAGACTTATATATCTTGTTTTCGCCGTTATTTGTAGCCCGATCTAGGTGTGCGACGGCTTTCCGTACTCGGAATAGGTTCCTTTATCTAATGCAGTCCTTATCAAGGAACAAGGATTAAGGATATTTTCTCCAGCCATATATATCTTGTTTTCTCCCTTCGAGGACCGATCGCGACGTACGACAGCTTCTGCGATCAGAAAAATGTCCTTGATCCTTCGCTAAGGACTACAACAACCGAACCATACAGATCTAGTTTTTCCGGCGACTTGTGGGCCGATTTAGGCGTGCGACGGCTTCCTGTGGTCGAAATAATGTCCCTGATTTGATGAAGTCCTTATCAAGGATCAAGGATCAAGGACATTTTCCCGAATCAAAAATATTTATTTTTCTCCGCTATTTTTGAACCGATCTGGGCGTGCCACGACTTCTTTAACCGGGATAGTGTCCCCAAAACAGAAGAAAGAAAGGATGAGTTTTCAATCATTTTATTCATCAAAACATAGCTTAGTATAGGATTCGTTAATATAAATAAATAAACAAGTGGACAAAATTTGTATATACTATCTAAATGTATGAACGAATGTATCCTTAAACCTAACAACAACGATATGTATCTAGAGTCCAGTAGCCCGCGTAGCCGCTCGCTTAGTTGCCATAGTCAAAGTCCTTGTTGTCGATGGCTTGTTATACTCGGATGCTGCGGGGTGCGATTCTGTCCTGCTGGGATACGATTCTGTCCGGCTGGGATACTTTGATACGACTCCGTCTGGCGGGTCGAAATCGGATACGACTTCGTTTGTGGCGAAGCTTACGATACATAGGTCCTCTGTGAAAGAAAAAATATTTTTTAAATGTGTCCACAATTATATACTGATTCACTTACTCGTCTCGAAGCTGTAGCCCAGCGTTTGATTCGGCGTCGTATGAATGGGCGTCATGGCTGGCTCATGATGACGCGGCGGTAGCCGAATGCCAGAGCCGACGACCCTGGGATCCAATCCAAAAAGTTCCTTTGCGACATGTTCGGTGTATGAACTGGCAACAGCATTCTATGAATAAGGTAAAGTTTTATTGCCAGTAAAACTTTATTATTAATAATTGTTATTTAAATATATTTATGGGTTATGGGTTGACTACGAAGTGTCTAATAATTATCTAGACATGATTGGTACGACTATGTCGTCCAGTTTCGAATCTAAAACAAATCCCGTAGAGCTAGAAGGGTTAATGGAAATACTGTAAAAATATATTAAATATAACTTTAAGAAAAATTGTTAAAAGCATTAATTAGGCGTTTTTTTTTTTCTAAAAACGTTCAGCTTCGTTTCGTTTTCTTTAAGTTAAAAACAGCCTTTATCCTGTTGAAAAGTTGGCAGCACTGTTCTTTTTGCGGCACTTGCCATTCACGGAGCACTCGCGCAATATTGCCAGACTGTCACAAAACTTGTTCTAAATATTTTAGATATTTTTCGGTATATTTGATCAATAAATCCGCAGTCACACTGTTTGGCACCAAGGAACGGAACTTAGTGACGTAAATTTGAATGAAAACATCGATGTTGGTTTGATACATCGGATTTATTCTTCGATGCATCGATGTATCACCGATGTTTCAAAACTTTCCCATTTGATTATATTATTATTATTGCGTTATTATTATACAAAAAAAATCTTAAAACTTAAAAATTGTGGAAGATAGGTTATATACGGTACATAAACCGTCAACAGTTCGGTCGTCGCAACTAGAACTTGAACCAGTTGGACTGCGGAGTGGGTATCCTACGGTGCGCGAAATGAGGATCTGAAGACACGGCGACAGCCTCTGATGATTGCGATGGGAAAATTAGTGACCGGCAGTTGTGGTACTGTTTCTGATACTGAGTTTTGTTGAACAAATGCATCTCCTTATATAACTAGCAGTGGTACTCTTATTGTATGGGAAGGAACGCCAGGCTCCATGTGAGATTTTTTTTTTTTATATAGGGTGCACTCTGTGCCGGGGCTACATTTCAGTGCATTTACTTAGGTACTTGGCAGCAACAAAGTAAATAGTTTATTGCTTCATCCTTTTTGATGGGTTCGAGTTTACAAGTGCAATTGTCTATTCTTAGTTGCTAATGTAATTTTCGTGTCGCCATATTCATTCACATGAAGTGACATGGACAATTGTATTTATGAGTATTTGTGTATATATATTCTGTTATATTAATAAGGTATACGATGTTTTGCAAAACATCGATACATCGCTCAACATCGGTACCAGCAAAAACACCGGAAAACATCGGCAAAAAAACATCGATACTCGATGCATCGATGTGTTTTTACATCACTAAACGGAACTGTTCTTGTGTAAAAAACACACACACATTTTTAATTTCGCTAGGACTTGGTATATTACTTCACAAAGCCCGAAATGCCATCGAAAAAGAAAAAATACAACGCGCGCTTCCCAGCGGTGAGTACGGACGAAGCGGAAGTGGTCAATATTTCGGCTCTGGCGTGAACCGACAATGGTTATCAGTTTTTATGCATGTGTACATACATACATACTCACATAATCAGAGGCTCCGTGTTGTGGGCGCAGCGGCAGAGCAGCACGAGCCCGGTGTGATTTATCATTGACTCGATTTTAATATTTTACTCCGCAGGGTCGCATCAAGAAGATCATGCAGAGCGATGAGGAGATTGGTAAGGTTGCACAGGCGGTACCCGTTATCATTTCCCGGACGCTAGAGCTATTCGTGGAGTCGCTGCTAACGAAGACGATGCGTATAACGAATTCGCGCAATGCCAAGACACTGTCCACTTCGCATATGAAGCAGTGCATCATGTCAGAGCAGCGATTCGATTTCCTGAAGGAGCTCGTCCGGAATATACCAGACATCAGTGTGGCCGAGGAGGCAAGCTCCTACAACGATGACAGCTCACCAGAGCAATATCCGGACTCAGATACGCCATACGATCTTAGCCTGCCATCCACATCTATGCGGTCATTGCCGAATGGAGGCGGATCCGCTATCGGCCCCTACATGCGCTCAATGAGCTTGAATGGCACCGGTCTGAAGCGTCAGCAGCAGCAGCAGCAGTACCCCCCACCCACACACATCCCATCGGTAATTGTGCCTTCTGTGGCACACACGCACCAGCTTCAGATGGGACACGTGCCCGCCAAGTTGGCTCGCTCGGAATCAACTCCGTCCTACACACCGCGGGGCAGACCGCCCAACCAAAACTCCTACCATAAGAAACAGTCGCACGACACTGCCATACCTGCTCCGATCTGCAGCTATGAACTCAATAAACCAATAGTCAAAATCGATTATAGCAACGTGCAGATGCCGACCAGCAACCTGTGCACGCCAGAGGCTGAGGCAGATGCCAACTCCGCCTTCAATTTTGACATTGCGGCTCCAGTTATCAATATCGATCTGACGAATATTGTAGCAGCTGGAACGGCTGGAAAGAGCAGCGCTCCCATCATTCCAAAGGCCACTGTGGCATCAACGACCCCAACTGAAACAATTTTCGAATTAGACGAAGACTATGACAATATTTGAATAGTATCTAAGTGAATGCGCTTTTAAATTATTGATACATTAATATGTACTCTAGCTCTAAGTAATCACAATACAACATTTGCAAAATAAAGACCATGCTGGATTTTAAGCTGAACCTCTGAGCTGTGAACCTTTGCTAATTTAAAATCTAATCGAAGAGTGATGATTACTCGAGCTGAAAGCGATGGTTTCCGCTCAACTGGTTCGACGGCTTTACTGTGCCCAACGATGCGCATCGCATCAAGGCGGCCAAGATCAACTTTAAACTATTGTATATGTTTATTGAGAGGGAGATTTATGCAGGATTGGTATGAAGCGGCAATAGTCGAAGCTACCTTCAGCATTGGGAATTGTTCCTACTTTAAAATGTATCTGTACACAAGCCATCTCAGCTCAAAAGCTTCCCATAAATACGGGAAGCTAATAACCAATTACCGAAAACTTAATTTGGTTAGCCTTAGCCTCCAAATAGGCCAAACAATTGGCCCACGGAATTCCCTGTGTCCTAGTAAGCTGTGACCTTTATTTGTTGTGCGTAGAACTATTTATATGTGTATATACACATAATAATAATTACGAGTATTACTTAATTTCGCCCAAGGTGCGTCCACTGACTGCCACTTAGTCATTGTGTAATCCTCGGTCACAGTCAATTACAATTAAATGCCTTTCAATCCCCATGGGGATTCGTACATTTGTATATTCGCACACGCAATCTCGGACCAGCAATTGATATTAATTTGGGGCACGATGTGGGTCAAGCATTGATGTGCTTCTATACAGTACAGATGTGGGACATACTGGGATGAACTGACAAGCGGAGAAACCAAAGTCAAATATCGCGTGGGAAAATCTTATTGTAGCAAAATTACTAGCCGCTCCTTGTGTTTTGTGCGCAAAGGTGCAGTTTAAAATTATATGAATTATTATGAAAGCACAGTCAGAGGGATTTTCGCTTTTCGGGTTGCATTTGGGTTTGGCATGGCTGATTAGGGTCAGCAGAAGGCCGAGATGATTAGTCCCCCTACGAGGGGCCAAGCCCAGATCAAGCTGATGAGTTCCTCCTCATTTGAGAGAAGGAAGGAAGGCAGAAATAGGAAGCGCCATCATTGGGGAGACACGATTTCGTGAATTCAATTTCCCCAAACAGAAATCCAGATCTGCACTCCTCTCCTCCATTGTCGTGTGCTGTGCTCCCAAGGGACTATGGGTGTCCATTTGGCTTGAGTCATGGTAAAAACTTTGAAACAATAAAAACAACTTGCGGCGCGCCGCCAGTGCCAAGTTTTCATGTCCAAGGCGTATTTATGTCAACCGGAAGTAGGTTTACTGACCCACGTATACCCGTACGTGTGTACGTTCGCCCAAACAGCGGCTTCGACAATCGTCGTCCTCGGTCGGCGACTCCTTCGGCGGCCGCCTCGACTGGTCATCCCCAGAGCGCAGGACGACGATAGCCCCACGTATAAGAAGGTATTTGCCTTTAGCGGATTAGTTTTTCTACGAACGGCGAGTGCAGTGCATCGGATCGATGCCAATGCGCGTTGATTTTTTGGGTATTCCGTTTGAGTTCAATTTAATTTTTTTTTTTAATATTTTCAAAAATTGCTAAAGTACAATAAATCGCGAACAATCCAAAATCCCCCTCGAAACGATCGACAACCCGAAACTTAACTCGAAAAAAACAAGAAAACTAAACCATCTAAATGGGAAATATCTTGAAAAGGGAACAACGCCGAACCATCCAACGGCAAAGTTAACTCATAGATGTCTCCAGGAATTCCTATGGCTTTGGACTCTGGTCTGGGGAAACGAACTCAACTTTTTGCTGGAGTCGGTCGCCATGGGGTAGTCGGGGGCTATCACGACATTAGCCAAGGATTTTCCCCCGTCACTGCCACTTAAAAGTCAGCCCCCACCCCGAACCCAAGAGGGTCTTTTGAGAGGGTTTACGAGTATAGGCGTTGTTTCTGTTGCTTTTGCTTTTTCTGCTGCTGTTGCTGTTGTCTTGATGTTGCAACAGTGCGCCGTGGCATAGGAGAGCCGGAGGCCCAAGTGTTGTTGACTCTTTGCCGCTGCACAAGGCAAAAGGAAATTTGTTGCGGTTTTGACCCTATTCCAAAGCCAAGGAAAACCGCACTTTACCCTGCCTGTACTCGGCTCGGCGATGTTCTGGCTGCCACATCCCACATCCTAGCCCCGTCTCGTGGCTTGAAGTGGCTCTCATGCGGTGTCTCACGTGCGTGCAGACCCGTGAAGATCCCCGGCAGTGGGAGCATCCAAAATATATGATTTAAGGACGGGAAGTCGGGAAGTGTGTGCAAGCGTATCAAACAAAATATAAGACCTACATATATGGATATATTGAGTATATGTGTGTGAGTGTGTAGGGACATCGCGTGCCAGAGACATGCCAACAGGTGTCACAGCCAGCGCTGGGAAACAATCAAAAGTTGTCTAAGCAGCAGAAGGCAGATGAACAAACATGCAAACACGGCCGGAGAGAATCTACGGACATTGCAGCGCCCCGCCGTGCGGCGAAATAGTGCGGCGAATTGGCAGCACTGGCTGGCGGGCTCCCCTCCCCCGATTGCTTTTCTTTTTATACCCTGTACTCGGGGAGTGTATTGTATTCGTGCAACTGATGATGGACAGGCAGGAGAGTGTGTATGTATTAACAAATTCGTAGAATTATTGCCTTTTTAAGGATATGGAAACCACATCTCACAGCGTTTGTTGAATGTTCAAAGAGTATTGTCATATAAGTGGGTATCAAATAGTCAAATAGACTTCTGCAAAACAGTGTTCTTGGTTGTTTCTTTTGTAGCAGTATCTCAGCGTGTCTGCGTGTGCACACTACTAGTATTATTATAGTGGCGCTTCCCCTGGTGTTGTGCTTTGTTTGAATTTGAAGTGTAGGCAATATTTCTCTTGAAGGTTTCTTTGCTCACTTACCGCGCCGCGGCGCCGTGGAGGCAGTTCCATTTCAGTCAGTGCCAACGTCCCATCGTGGGCTCTATCGCTCTCGCTCTCCGTTTCCAATGTTCATTTTTCGCGGCTTTTCTGTGTAATGATACTGTATTAGAGTTACTCTCGTGCACAATTGAAACTAATTTAAATAACAATTACATAAGGCTGGGCATCACTTACCGTATACCAATACCAATTTCCTCGAGGGGACTCCAATTAAAAACGGTTCTTAATGTGTGACCCCAGCCGTAATGAGATGCAGGAAAAGTGCCTGTAATCCAGAAAAGTGTTTAGAAGAGAAGGAAAATTTGCGAAAAACCAACGTACAGGCACAGGCCCGGGTCCGGGCCCGGCACGCGTCATGGCCATAACACAGCACACCGGTCTAGTCACTTCCTGCGAGCCAAAGTGTGTCACCGAAATTCGAGTAGCGCCCCATAAAATGTAGGTTAAATATTAGGCAAAGGAAAATCAATGCGAAGAAAGGCACTCATTCACACCTGCCATCCCTCCCCACGTCCCTACGGTTCGGTTCCGCAATACCGCAATCCTCAAGCGGCCTACGTCATGCCGCAAAATATAACTACTATTTGCGTACCCCAGTCCCATCAAATGTTCGGAGTATCTGAATGGAAACAGTAGGAGAGACAGAGAGAGAGAGAGAGCAATTAAAACATCATGTTCAGCTGATAGTTGGTGTCGGACAGCCAGCCCCAAACATCTTCGAGCGATGCACTCCTCAAGTGCAGTCACTAATGCGGCAATTTGCAACATGCAATCCAATCCGTTCCAATGCCATACCATAGCCATGCCACACCATGCATCTCCCATCCATAAGGCTGAAGACTGTTGAGCGCTCATCAAGTTCTGCTCTCGTTAGCGTTGGCTTAACGGCTTGGGGGGAGTTGGATGTGGAGTTGGAGTTAGATGTGCTGCTGGAGCAGGTGCATTCCGATTGCATGGGGTTTATCAGCGCGGCACACGCAGCTATTTATAGGATCGAAATGGAGAGAAATGGCATTAGAAAATACTCGTACAAATAATAATAATTACTGTTTTCGCCATGCCCGTAGTTTGGCTGTGCAAATCGGAAAGTTGGGAGGCAGTTGCCCACGGTCTCCCGCGTCGCGTGTACGTCCCGTCTCACTGACATTGCAATGGCCGGAAGGTCTGGCCTGTCCCTAGAATAAATACATATATACGTGTACATACGTTTGTGAGCGAGTGATTTTTGAATATTTCTGTTGCTTTGAATAAACAGCTTTTGGCGTCATTGGTTCTGTTGCACCCGAACGAAACGAAGCGAAGGACAAACAAATATAGCAAAGTAATCCTGCGTAATTCTTTGCTATGGCCAGAAGAATGGACAAGGACTCATAGTGGACGAGAGAGGGATCGATCGAGCGACCGTACCAATGTCAAATCATGCAGCAGACCCTCTCGTACTCATCATCATCGCCATCCCCCTCTCCGATGCCAACGCCAGCCGGAACACCACACCCCCCAGCGACCACCCATGCCCCCACCCACACCCATCCACGACCCGGCTCAACAGGCAGCGATCCCAACAACAGGTTTCAGCCGGCCATCATTCCGGTTGACTACAGCTACCACACCCACACCCATTCCCACCCACACTCCCACTCGTACGGCCACACGACCATGGCCCCCTCGACGTACACATCCACACAGAGCTTCATCCGCCAACCGACGGCCAGCACAGTCCAGGAGCTGGGCTCGGAGCGGGACTCCCAGCCTTATAGCAGTCTCTTTGGGGACCCCGTGCCCCCGCCGTCGCAGGTGGAGGAATACTTCGGGACTGCGGCCTTTGAGACGTTACGATCTTCTTCGCTGGAAATCCCCAGCTCGGAGGAGGATGCTCTAGTGGCCGCTGTGGCCCTCAATGCGCTGATGGGCAACGAGGCTCGGGTCAGGCAGAGGATCTTCTCGAATATTCCCTACACGAGAACCCCCCGGGCATCGCTCATCCCGCACCTGCAGCCGCCCGATATCCAGATCTTGCCCAATTCCAGCGGCGGGTCCAGCTCGGAACAGCTGGGGTCTCCCAACTATCGACTCCTGGCCCCGGACGACATCCTTAATAAACCGGATATGTACGACTTGGCGAACCCCAGTGAGGAATCACAGTACATGACACGCTTGGACTTCGATCGGGAGGAGGAGCGAACGCAGACTCCCAGCCGAACGGCGGGCAAGCAGAGTGTCTCCACCATGACCTCAGATGACCATCACCACGGGTAAGAGGCAATCCTATCCATCAGTCAATGAATGATTCTGTATTTTATCCGTTTTAGCTTGCTGAGCGACTCTTACTCGGGCAGGGACTGGTTTCGACCTGCTCCACAGCACTTTCCGGAGTTCACGCGCATCCCCAAGCTGCGGCCCAGCTCGAAAAACATCATGTCCATGAAGCAAGAGGAGGTGCCGCTCTCACCGCTGGCCACGATGATCCAGGACATGAACAGTTCCAGCAGCGGAGGCGATGAGCGGGTAGCCCCCGATGGGGAGAAACAGTCAACGATGCAGGACATGGACGTCATACTCTCACCGAAGCAATACCTGGAGCAGCAGCTGGAACGGATGAGTGCGGTCAGCGAGCGGCAGCTGCTTGAGGACTACAGCCCGCCGTCGCCTCCACCAGCTGACCCGCCGCCTTCTTGCCACCAGAGTAGCCGCAGAGACACGGAGGAGAGCGTCTGCTCACGTCCACCCACCATGAAGAGAGAAATGTCCCCGATCATCATCAAGGACTCAATCTCCGTGGGCGGAGACTATCGGTAAGTGGGAACAACACTCTCTGCCTCTCCTGGCCAGTTCTAATCTCTGCTAATCCCCATCCAGCGTGGACCAGCCACGGCCACACAAGAAGACTGCATTTACCATCCTCACAGTGCGCTCGCCGCAGACATCGCCGGCGTACAGCCCCGCCAGGAGAGCCGCCGCCAGGAGGCACGCTTCCATACAGTCGACATCGACTACCTCATCAATGGCCACCAAGCCGCCGATCCTGCCGCGTCGCAAGACTCCCAGCGACTCCCGCCTACCGGAGCTGCCAGGATATCTGGCCCACTCGGCGTACCCCAGCCAGCAGCAGCCACAGCCGCAGCCACAGCCGCATCCACTCCACACAACCGATGACTCGCCACGGCCTTCGGTGCAGTTCAACATGAGTGGACGGCACAGTCGCAGCAAGCTGGCGACGCCTTCGAAGGGAATCCTCCAGCAGAGGGACTCGCTCACCTCCTCCATAGACACCTACACGCCGAGGGCGCAGAGACGAAGGTCCATGGCCCCCAGTAGTCCCCAGCAGATGTCGTATGGCCAAAGGATCAAGAGCATGGAGAGCCTGCCGCTGATAACCGATCCCTATCGAAGCGCGATTCCGCGACTGCACTACTCCACCATGGACCTGGGCAAAGAAGCGGCAGCCTTTCCGCCGGGCGCACTGCCACGCCCACTGAAGCCAAACCACAACCCCACGCGAAAGCAGCGCGGACTCCTGAAGGTGATCAACCGGGAGGAAGCGCTCGCCCACATCCCGCCCCGCTCCAACTGGTGCAGCCTGGACGACCTGGCTCTGGCACCGAGTCCCCGTGCATCCTTCGACGTCGGCCACGCCCAGGGTCGTCGTCGTTCCAGCTCCACCTCGCCCGAGCGAAGGAGCTCCACGCAAACAGCCTCGGACCGACGCAGCTCCAACCTGAGCAGCATAACCGCCACCACCTCGGACTTTAGCTTCCGACGTCCATCGCTCGCAACACTGCCAGCATCCCGGCTGCGTCGCAAGTCGGTGCAGGCGCCGATCCCCGGGCGTAGCCCGCGACGACAGTCCATCTACCAGAGGGATCCGAAGCCACCGCCGCATGGGAAGCATGGGAAGATCGCCAAGCCCAGCAGTTTGTCACCGATTCTCGGCACCCCGAACAAGGACAGCAGCTCAGGGCAGAGTCCTACCCACGGATCCTCGATAATTGGGCACCGGGAATCATCGCTGTTTGGGCACCATGAATCCTCGCTTATTGGTCACCGTGCAGCCGCTGTCGACACGCAGTCCGAGGTGTCGACGCGTCGGGACTCGCTCTCCCGCATTCCGATTCGCAGTCGTCCGGGATCCCGGGTGGAGTCTCGTTCCAGTTCGCCGTCGAAGGACTTTGTGGCTATGATTCCGACCGCATCTGGGCGCACCTCACGGGCAAGCACGAGTCGATCTCCCTCTCGGGCGATGATTCACAGCAGGACGCCCTCACGGGAGAGTGCGCGACCCGGAGAATCGCGATCTGTGTCCAGGGGCCCACCTTCTAGGGCAAGTTCTCGCATGGAACAGGCACGGGAGCAGGCCAACTCCCGAAGCAACTCGCGGGCCAACTCCCGACTGAGCATAAACTCCTCGCTGCGATCCTCTAGCGTATCGCCCGTCACCATGGCCAGGAACAAAACCATACGGGGAACCACACCGCAGCCCAGTCGCAGGAAGTCCATATCATTGAGTCCAACCAGCGGCATGATAGGGCGTCGAAAGTCCATAAGTCCAGGGGCCATCACACAGGCAAGACGGATGTCCATGTCCATTAGAGGGAAGCCAGAGAACCCGGAGACATTGTCGCGACGCAACTCCCGCTCCCGCATCCCCACGCGACAGTCGGGAAAGATGGAGTCCAAGTCGCCGCCATCCTCCTCCAAGAAGCGTTCAAAATCCCCCGAGAAGACCAAGGGAATACCGGCGATGACACCCAAGGGCACCAGAGCGGGCAAAGTCCCGCCAAAGGGAAGCCCCAAGGCAAAGCCCACATCCAAGCAACCTGCAAGTGCCAAACCCAGGACAGAATCTGTGAAGGCTGTTAAAACCGCGGAGCGTCTTCCAGTTGTCAGAAGGGAACAGGGAACAGGGAAGAATCCAGCCCCCAAAGCGCCATCATCCACAGCGAAGGAAGCGAAAGCCGAGAAAGGAAAGCCAGCAACCAAGAGCAGTGCACAGGGACAACCAGCAGCGCCCCCGCGCACCAAATCCCAGCAGATGAAAGCCAAGCCACCTGGAGGGGCGACAATGGAGGCCAAAAGACCTCCTGCACCCACGGCCACCAAAGCCCAGGGAATTGTACACGAAAAAGGTGCCAACGGAGGAGATGCTACAACAAACATGACTCCACTAGCTGCCCAGGTGGGCAACGTGGTGCTCCAGGCAGCCGAAGCCATTCCGGCAGTGACCAGCGAGGTGACCGTCCCCTCAACTCCAGGACGCAGAGGCCAAGGAGCGAACATGTCCAAGCTGGTGCGGATGAGCTCCCGGCTGAGCATGCTTAGCCAGAAGAACCGAGCAGATTCGCCGCTGAATCGAAAGGTGGCAACAGTGCCCGAGATAGCGCAGGAACACGAAGGTGAGATTCAGTCTAAGGGGCCAACAGACACAAGATTTTTTTATAAATTAATTAATCTTATTCTATTAAATTCTAGAAGCAGCGACCCACGGTTCTCTGATGAAGTCCAATGATGCTGGGAGTCTGCCTGCCGCCATTCTGGAAAAGTCACAGAAAACGCTCGAAAACATACAAAAGACCGTTACGGAGGCCACCGATGAGATCCACAAGACCATCAGCGAGAACCTCACCGATCTGAAGACTCTGGAGAACGACATGGGCCTGACCGCAGATGGCCCTCCCACTCCCACACCCACCTCTGGCACGATGCTGGCCAAGCCAGGCGACTCTGAGTCTCGGACAGGGACAGCGGATGGTGGGAATGCTCCTCAGAGCTCGGCGGAGCAGGCAAAGTCTCCTTTTACGGCCACACAGCCCATCGAGGCCGCGGTCTCGGTAGTGCACCCGGACGAGCGAGCAACGATATCCAGTGTGCCCGAGGTAGAGTGCGAGAGCTCTGACCTGCCCACAGTCCTGGACGTGTCCGAGTCGGAGCTGGGTGGCCATGTGATGCCGACGCCCGAGAGCGGAGCGGACTTCAAGGTGGACGCCAAGCGACGCTCTCCAGACGGACAGGGCGGCTCCGCAGCGGGAAGTGGTGGCATGGCAAAGTGAGTAACAGGGAAGCACTCTTGAAAAACTAATTAATATTGATGAAAAAAGCATGACTATTCATGGGCTAGCCCCACAACGATCTCTTCTGCGACCCGGACGCAGTGGACATTTTAGGCGGGAAGGCTAACGGAGAGTACTAATTTTTTTCCTCGACCGTAGTCTCCACATAAAGAGCTCGCCAAGGCTTACAGCGCCTGGCCAGTCGTCAATTTGCATACAGGAAACACCCAAACAACAGCAGCAGCAACAACACTTTACAGTGCCGTGTGGGCTAGCGCTGCCGCTGGCTTTCTCGTGGTGGTTCAGGCGGGCACAGGTCCGTCAAGCCACTCATAAGTGCGTCAATAAATTTTGAATACAAACACGAAGTGGGGTCTATGGAGCGACTAGAGTAGAGTCCCTCCCCCAAACGCTAGACCACGACCACCAGCCCACACCAGACGACCACCTTTGAGGAAATCCGTTCTCTGCCTTGTCGTCGTCGTCGTCGCCGTCGTCAGGTCGGTCGCAGTCGGCGAAGGTAACGATGTCCTTCACTGCATTGTTTTTCCAGCCAACCGATATGAGCGGGTCCGTGTGTTTGCGTGTGTTTGTGTGCATCCCTAGCCATGCGAGACCCCAAGAAAACGTGTGACCGACCCATTACAGTGGGCACCCTTCCCCATGTACTCACTAGGAGAAATGGGCTACGATGTCCACTCTAGGGAACCCCCACCGTACGGGCATGGTATAGCGTGCATATCGCACGGAGGTAAAAGTATTTTCGCAACACGACTTAAGTTTCTTGCCGCAATAACAAATCAGTTTCGGCCGGACAATCGCGCTAACCGCAGCCTAGCTCCCGTGAGGCGACTCCCGAATCTCCCAGAAGAACCAAAGTACCAAAGACCCAAAGAGAGTGCTGTGCTTGCGAATTTCCAACAATTAATCCGAAAACAATTCAGATAATTTGCAAAAATGCTGAACGAAACAAGCAAAAATTCGGTTATATATACGGTTGATCTGACGCAGGACTCGTTCATAGATGGCGATAAGTATTTCTTTAGGTAACGAGCATTAGCTTCCGGATTCCTATTATATTTTATCGTTCTCCATCAGATGGCATAGGTTTGGGTAGTTAACGCACCAGCGACGACCTTGTGGATTAATTTAAATACAAAACTGGCAAGAAAGTTTCTTTCATTCCGATTGTTGTCACTGTTCCACGAGTACTCCAACTCGAAGTTTCTTGGATCCATGCCGCTCAGAGCGGGTCAAATAAATTACCGACCTCCAAATTGCGTTTGGTCGTTGGCTCGTGCACAACGAAATTAAAGGCGTTCGAAGCCCCAAAAACATATACTATACATATATACATGTACGATACTTGTACATGAGTACAGTATAGGGACTATAAATGTTATGGGCTTTGGGCCTATAAAAATTGTGTAAGCGTCTCGATGGGATTTTCATGTTTTGAGTTGACATTTCTGGTGAGCGAATAATCTGAACAAAATGTTCTTTAAGGAAGAAAAACAGTCTCTGCTTTCATAACCAAATGAACGAGCCAAGAAAATAGTACATTACAAAGTCTTAAATCTACATAATCCATCCATTAGATGTTGCTGTTTTCCATACGAGTAATTTATACACATAAAGTAGTGGTAATGCTCCGACTGTGATTATATATGCAAAGCGATGGGCGGAAGTGATTCAGGACTATCCCATAAACTTGAACTTTGGCTCCGTAGCTCTTCTAACAACTTTCCAATCATACAGAACTTCCGGCTCTTGGCACCTTGCCAAGCCTTGCTGAAGCCATAAAAGCTTATATCCGGTCCTTGGTCCCAGTCAAGGATGGCATGCGGAAACCGCGAACAAGAGCTACTTTCCAGCAACTAAAAATTATTATGAGACTATTTTCAATCTACTCTTCTCCCACCAGAACCAGCAGCCAAGAGTTCCTGGAAGAAAAGGACAATAATGCCAATAAGAAGGGATTGTGTCGCTGTTGTTCCTCATTGTTCATGCCCTGTCGTCGCTCTCGATGCTCCCGCTGCTGTTATCGACGAGAACGGAACCCCTTAGCCGAGGACCAGCCCGTGCTATGGAGTGCAAACAGTAGTGCCACAACCGCCACCAATGTCCAAGTGATTGATGAGACCAAGTCGAAGAAGAAAAAGGTGACGGACTGGCTCAAGTCGAGCTGCTGCCGGAGCTGCCGGAAGAAACATCCGCCCGCGAACACGGACAAGCCGGAACCGCCAAGCGTGAAGCAGGAGGCCAGTATGAGTACGGGACCAAAACGTGGGGGCAAATGCGGCCTCTGTCTGAGCAAGGTTTTTTGCTGTCGCTCGGTAAACAAAGTGGACGACACGGGGAATGAAACCGAGCTGAAGAAGTGCTGCTTCTGCATACCATATCGGAGGAACCGTAGCAAGCCGAAAGGTAGCTCCGTTTCCTGGCGGGATCAAGATCCAGAGCTTGGCATCAAGCCAACTGATACATCGGTTCTGGAAGGTGCGTCCGAGGCCTCAATGACATCGGCAGCTGCGGATACTCCGGCTACACTACCAAAAGAGTAAGTCTGACAGACACCATACCCCTATACTTGATGTGGAGCTAAGAACCTCTTGCCATTTTCATTAAAGGGGCTGCTGCAAGCGTTTCTGGCTAATGATGCTCTGCTGTCGCAAGAAACCGCGTCGCGAATCGAATGCTCGCCGACAGAGCATCAGAGCCCCGCCGCCCAGTGAGGCAAGTGATGATACACTTTGATCCATGGTTACAACATTCCATAATTTATTTCCCGCACTTAGGACACACGCCGGAAGCTGCATAACGACCTAGTGGAACACGCATCCAAAATGAAGGGAGCTATTCCTGTGCTACCGCTGTATTTGGCTTGGTTCTGTGCCTTCTGCAACGTAGTCTTTCCAGGCTTAGGTGGGTTTTCCAGAGGTGCACCTGCCTGAATATACGGCTTCTAAGGCTTCTATGATTTCTTAGGCACACTCCTGTCGGGACTCCTTTGTTTGTGTGTGGGCATTCCACGTTTCTCGCAGTACGACAGTGCCCGGGCTCGAATCGGATCCTTCATAATCAACATTATTGTGGCAGTGTCGCAGTTCTGTTGTGTACTCTTCTGTTTCGTGGGCTGGGGCTGGTCCATCTGGTGGGGTACTATTATGCTAAAGTGTGCAAGTAAGTGTGGTCATTTACCGTCTAATATTTTGAGAGCATACTTTAACAAAGATTCGCACAAATCTTAGGGAAACTGAGCAAGATCAAAAAGGTGGAACGTTTGGAACTGGAGGAGGAACAACGACAGGCCCAACTGGCGGCCACTGCGGCTGGTGAGACGGAGCCGGCGAAGACATAGTAATCCAGTCCAACAGGACACATTCAACGGGACGAGCTTTTTTATACAATTGTGTACATACCTTTGTACAAAACTGTACATTCCACAGACTCGTGCACTTCCAAATGTACTTCCATGATAAGTAAAGTGGAACAATACTTCCTTAGAACAGAACTTAACTCTAACTATGTATTAAAATCATTAAACTTCCACTAAAATAACAAGAGTTTTTTTGCGCGTTTTGCTTAAAATTTTCTGTAGATAACTGTAAATATCGGAGTGCAAAACTATCGAACATTTCGCCAGTGCTGTAAAACACCCAATTTAATACCAGTTCTGGTAAAACAGGGTGGATTCTTTTTTCGACGGCGTTCATTAAAAAAACACGACGTCAGTTTGCGAATTCTGTAAACTATACTATTTTGGCTGTATAAAGATGTCGCACCTTGTGAAGATGGAAAATGGCCAGAGCCAGACGATACAGGAGATGCTTGGATGCATTGAACGGTAAGCTTAGTCCTCCGCCACCGAGTTTTGTTCAATAAATAAACAGATGCACATAACCTCGCTTTCTGGCCACAGCTACAACCCCGACCATTTGAAGACTCTGGAGGCGTACATTCAGGACCAGGCCAAGAATAACACCTACGACCTAGAGGCCAACCTGGCCGTTCTCAAGCTGTACCAGTTCAATCCGCACATGCTCAACTTTGAGATCACCTACACGATTCTGCTGAAATCGCTGACAAATCTGCCACACACGGACTTCGTGATGGCCAAGTGTCTGCTGTTGCCGCAGCAGATGAAAGACGAAAACATTCAGACCATTATCGATCTAGCAGATATACTGGAGCGTGCCGATTTCACACTGTTCTGGCAGCGCGCCGAGGTTAACCGTACCATGTTCCGCCACATCAGCGGCTTCCATGATTCCATTCGTAAGTTTGTCTCCCATGTTGTGAGCATCACCTTCCAGACCATCAAGAAGGATTTGCTGAAGGAACTTCTGGGCGGCATTGAGGACTCGACACTGGAGAGCTGGATCAAGCGCAACGGATGGAAGCATCAGGGCCAGGATCTCATTGTCGTCGCCATGCAGGACGACAAAATTAAGACGAAAAATATCACAGAGAAGATCGAGTTCGAGAACGTTGGCGCACTTATGGCACAGTGTCTCTAGGTTTCTCTCTACATTCATAGTTTTGTCTAAATTTCTACGGAAAGTGCATAATATAAAAGAAAAATAAACGCCCGGCCCGTCATACAGCTAACTAATTAGTTTTATTTAGAGATACACGCGAAGTAAACATATTAACTTAGAAAAACTATTTTCCCTATACGCACACTTTACAGAACTAATAATTTCTTAACCTTGTTATGACTGTTTTTTGAACTTTTTCAATATGGGAAATATTTTGTCGAAGGCATCGTAGATCTCCTGTCGGACTTTTGCGCCCGTCAACACCACTTTCCCCGAAACGAAGATGAGAAGCACAATACGCGGACGCACCATACGATAGATCAGACCTGGAAAGAGCTCAGGCTCGTAGCTGCTGAAATTGCAATGCGTCAGCACCAGGCCCTCCAGTCTTATGGGAAACTTAACATCGCACGAGCCAACCATGTTTTGAATCTTGAAATCGAGGAATTTCGCCTGCAAGCAAAGAATTATGAAATGTTCTCTAGATTGTGAAGGGATTAGTACTTACCGGGAATCCCAGCTTCTGTATGATGCGAGCGTATTTCCGCGCCGCCAGTCTTGAGTCGTCTTCACTTTTGGCGCCGGTGCATACCATTTTGCCGGAGCTGAAAATCAGAGCGGTTGTGCGAGGCTCACGGATACGCATGATGACGGCAGCAAAACGTTTTGGGTTGTACTCGGCGTTTCTTGCATGTAGTGCAATCTTTTTCAGATCCAGCTTGCAGCACAAATTCACTGTGGACACAATATTTTGAAGCTGAGGAACAATTCCGGGGTCTGCTGAGCCAGGCGTTGCCGGTGTCATGGGGGTTGCTGGACCCATGGTCTGGTGTATGTTGCTGAGGGAATCTCCTGCCCCCACTCCTGACGCACTGCGCTCACTCATGGGAATCATGTGCGACATCATGCTCTGTGGAGTCTGTGGCTGCATTAGAGATTGCGGTGTAGTGCCTCCAGCAGGTTGTCCCTGCTGCTGCTGCTGTTGCTGATATGACGCTGAGGGTTGGTAGCTCTGCATTTGTTTGTGGGCCAAGGGCAATGACGGTTCGTGGCCAAAAAGTCCACTGCCGCCGGTTGTAGCGTTGCTGGCATCTGGCTGCTGCTGTTGTCCCGCTACTGGTACTGGGGCGGATATTGCAGGTTCTGGCTGTGGTATTGCCGGAGGATGATAAACGGGATTTGCTATAATCTGTTGATCAGCCTCCATCTGATGCATTGGCGTTCCAATGCTCGGAATCGAGAAGTTTGGACTTAGCATTTGATCCATGTTGCTGGCTATTTCTGAAGACGGTGAGACGCGTATACAATTAACTTGAGACGCAGATAGACGAATATGGTTTACAAGTCAAATATTTACACTTCTATCCCGCGTGTTAATTATTATTAATTGATAATAATTACTTTATTTCAGATATCCTTCAATGAAAATAAAACAAAAACAAAACAGCAAATGGGAACGGGCACCGTGTGATAGAGCTAAAGAAACATCGATGCTAGCATCGATAAGGTATATACGGTCTGACCCTCAGAAATATACCAAAATATTCCGCCTCATTTAAAAAATATACCGTAAATATACTGGCGGATTCAAGTTCAATATTCCTCGATTTTTATATTCCGTTAAATATTACTAGCTAGATATAACATTTAGCCATGCCGACATAGTTTTATCCTATTAGTGAATCTATTTTCTACATGACTGGTTCATTTTAAACACTTGCTTTTATTACATTTCTATATAAAGTTGAAAATGAAATTTAATAGATTGATGAAATTGACAAAATATAACATTATATACCGATATACCGTAAATATATCGTCGGTCAAATTTTGACCTAAAAAATACCGAAAAGCTTTAAAAAAAATACCGTAAACGGTCCCCCTGATGGGCACCTGATTTAGCGCTTATACCGACAGACTCTCAGAAGTATACCAAAATACACCGTAAATATACTGATGAAATCAATCTACTACACATTTGCGACACGTTTCTACACAGAGGACAGCTATCGATAACGTTATCGGAATTAGCCACACTGTTTGTGATACTTTGAAAACCGCGACTTTTTAACCGTAACACTTCGCACCTTGAATACCCTAGTGCACCTTTATTATGAAGTCATGTATGTACTCTCATTATATTATATATTCTATGTATATATGTATATTCTGTATTAATAGCATCCAAAGCATGTGTAAAATAACAGTTCTTCTGATAATGTTGGCAAGCGTCTTCAAAAAGAGTCAACTCCGTTGGCCAATACAGAATGAAATGACACATCTATACACTGTATGGTAAGACCTTGTAAATAGTTACGAGGGTAGGATAGAGTAGTTGAAAATATTTATTTAAGCATCAGTTATTAATTAAAATGAACGCATAAGAATGATCGAGATGAATACCAATACAGAGGGGATGGCCAAAGGCAGACCTTTTGCGGCTGATCCTCCCGACTGGGAGTGAAAGTGAGTATAGGTATTTCCATTCTCATCTGTGTATGCATGTCTTCCAGTTGAGGGCGAGTTCTGGAATGTGCCAGTCACGCCTGGGACATTGTAGGGTCCTTCATTCTGACCGCGTATGTAAATTCCATTTTCCGGACTGCCAAACTGATGCGGGCCATTCCCGTCAGAACTAGTCTGTGCACTTACCGCTGCGTGGGAATCGGAATAATAATAAAACAATCACTTTAACTCTGAGGTCACCAGAGCTTACCGGCAAACAGCATGCTAGCAACAACGATACAGATGACAACGAAATATCTCATGGTGGATGTAGCAGCTTCAGTTACAACGCCCAGCTTGAACTGAGTGCAGTTTTTGCGAAAATCTATTTATATATGAAGCAATTTAATTACGTCGGGAGGGAAGAGAGCGCGAGAGCGAGCCCATCTTGCGGCAATTAGTAGAACCGAACTTGAGAATCAGATGTCCAGACTACATAGTATATGATCTGACGTATGTACATATGCATGATCATCACTTCCAATATCTTTATACCATTCAAATTTAACAAACTATACAGGAAGACCCTATCGAACATTTACAAGGGAACAAATACACAAATATCATTTTGCGCATGCTTTTCGAGAGCCAATGTAATTTTTAATTTTAGTACGATACATGTGCATACTAGTACATACATAGTACATATGTAGCTATTTATGCATATACTGAAATTGACAAACGTTACATAATAAACACTCAAAATCATGAGCTGCAAGTCCTCAGATTTGGCCATAAACAATATGAAAGCAGATTCGAAAAGAACACTACGTTTGAGTTTTCGATCAGACCGTTAACGCAGTATAATGTTTTGAAAAATAGCTGTAAATTAAGATAAAACAAAATTTGTATCGTAATGGAGACGATTTTCAAGTTCTTCCGCAAAAATTATGTGCTGGCCAACTGCGAGAATGCCATCATCAAAAAGGCCTTCTCGTTGAATCTTTCTCACTACCAAATTTCTGAGGCACCCGAAATAATTGGAAAATGCGAAAGTTTGATAAAGCTTTTTCTGAATCAGAACAAACTAACAAAGGAAAGTGCCTCACACAACAGCTGAACTCATTTATTGACAATACGTACCGTACTGATTATCAAACTTACAGGTTCCCTCCACCATTACCAATCTCGTGCGGTTGCAAGTTTTGGCCTTGGATTACAACAAGCTGGATGAATTTCCACTGGCCATTTGTCAACTAGTGCAACTGAAGTCCCTCAACATAAGCTGCAACAACATCCATCGCCTGCCCCCGGAATTGGGCTACCTAACGCAGTTGGAGACCTTCTGGTGCAACAACACAGGGCTCCTGGAACTACCGTCGGAGATCGGAAACTGCGAGCGTCTCGAGATACTGGGAGTGCGTGGAAATCGCCTGACAAAGCTACCCTCGTCGGTCGGATCACTCGCATCACTGCGCTGGTTCACGGCCGAAGGCTGTCAGCTGCGCGAGGTGCCCCTATCATTCGCACTGTTGGGCAGCTTGGTGCACCTCAATCTAAGAGGCAATCGTCTCAAACGGATTCCAGGAGTGCTAGTTGCGATGGAGAAGTTGCGGTTCGTATTTCTCAACGAGAACATAATCGACGAACTGCCTACACGCTTCCAATTGCAAGAGCTGCGTTTTCTGGAAATGCTCAACTTGAAAAGGAATCCAATCTGTCTTCATCAGGACTTGCAGGTTCTTGCAGTGGTATGTTAATAATTATAAGGTCAAACTGAACATCGAGTAACTGGATTTTACAGCGCCAAACAAACATCTACATGGAACTGCCGGAGCATCTAATGGATGCAGCCGATGAGTTTGCCGCTGAATGTTCAAATAGAGATCAGCATCAAGACCACCAGGCCGGTACTGATGATACGGAGACGTCAGACTGGGCTAACAGCGCGCGAACCAGCCAGCTGGACACCACAGACGAGAGCTCGTTGGAGAATAGACTTGAAGATTTGAGCGTAATGCTGCCAGCGATGTCGCGTTATATCACATCCTTTTGAAGTTTGAAGTATGAGCTTGTCAGTATTACACAGCACGCATAAATGTGTTATTTATTGTTTGGATTTGTGTGTTTGTACATGGACCTTTAACAACCTATCGTACCGCTTGAAATGCAGGCTCTAGCCGGTAGGGGAACAGGAAACAATACGATTTGGTTATGTAGGAAATGGTGCCAATATGACAGGTGTTTGGTATGCCAACGCATTAACTAGTCATATTCTTCATGAGCTCTGCGTCCTGCATGGACATGGCCGTTAGCTTCTTGCCAATATGCTCATGAATGTCCAGGTACTTAGCCACACAGCGGTCGATGCAGACCATCTCGCCCTTTCCTGCAACAACACGGGCCATATTTAGCCAGAGAGCTCAAGCGTATTTCTCGCAACACTCACCCAACTCCGACTCCGAATAGCGCGGTGGAATGCACTTCTTGTGGCATGCGGTCGTCATGCGGTTATATAAATCGGACATCATTTCGATTTCCATTTCTTGCATGACCTGTACTTTGGCCTGGTCGGCCGGGCTGATCTGGGACATGTCCATGGTTCCTTTTGTCGTGCTGCTTTTAATTGATGGTTAACTAAATATGTTCGACCTTAGTCAAAACGCCTTTCAGAAGAGGAAGAGTCGTAGTCGCCGTGATTTGCTTTTCTCATGCGTTCACGCACTCGCATGCTCTCGTAACGCCGGCTATCAACGGATTGCTTGGACAGCACAAAAGCGTACACTCCACCAGCGGTCAGAATTCCCCTGATCAGACAAGAGTTTAATTTAGAATTGCCCGAGACTTTAATAAATTACACAATATTTTTCTACAAACCAACAAACAGCAATTCGTCCAGCGTTTCCTAACGTCATACCTATATCGATATTTTTGGCCGATAATATATTTGTAGGGTGATAGGGCGTTCAGCGGTTATCGATAGTCGAAAATTGCTTATCATTGAAGTGCAAATGGCCATTCAATTATTAAAGTATTATTTATCCTAAAATGGACACCAACACCTACCTACAAAGCGCCTACCACGTTGCGATAGTACCGACCGATCTACATCATGAGGCGACTATAATCAAAGCAGCCCAGTCTCTGGATTGCCTACACAAAACAATAAATTCTATTTTCGAGCGGATTGATGCCAGACTCGAAAGAAATGGTGCCAAGGTCCAGGACATAAACAGACGTGTGAGGCGGGCGCAGGCGAAAATAGATGCACTGGTCGGGTCCAAACGAGCCATTCAAATATTCGCTCCGGCCCGATTTCCTGCCGGCGACGTGCTGGTCAGCATTGCTTCCACCTTTCCACAGGTGGCTGGCAAACTAATGGAAGAGAATCACGAAAATGCGCACTGTCGACAGCAAGAGACGGCATCAGTGGCAGATGATGATAATATTTCCTTTCATGTGCGAGCCGAGCAGGAACATGAAGCCCCGTTGGTCGCCGATAGAAAGATGACTAATCGGACTTCCGGCTTGGGTGGTCTTCCCTTGACTGGCGTAAAATCGGTCCCATCATTGATGCGTTTCAACACAAACGAGTTTGCTTACGGTGATGATTTGAATGCTTGGAAGCGTTCTCTTCCCCCGCAGAGGACAAGACGTACAGCCAGCCAAGCCAAGATCACGACGGAGAACCTACTAGCCCCGGCTCCGCATTCATTGGCTTATGGCACCACAAAGTTGGCGACTCCCGCCGGGGATTTGCGATACAATCCAGCCGCTTTGGCTGCCCCAGCCATCGATGTGCCCTTGGATTTGCCCGACCTTCCTGGCATAGCCAACGACTTGCAATATGAGCCTGTTGAAGAGAATACGCCCATTGCTCCGTCCCAGCAGTTTGGAGAGTTGCCAGAATTACCCGGATTGGAGGTGGAGGAACAGGAGATCACAGTGCAGGCTCTGGCAGCTCAAACGCACGTACCAGTGCCAGATAAGAAGACAGTACGAAGATCAGTTGGATCAGTTCCTGTGTCGACCCCACCACCGCCTCCGCCTCCACCACCACCACCACCACCCCCAACTCCTCAAAATGTGGTCACGCATCCACCCCTTCCTACCCGAGGTCCCATTAAACCCCTTTCTCCTTCTCGTGAAACTCCCCTTATCATGCCACCCCCTCCTCCCCTCCCCGCTGACCCACGATCAGAGCTTATGGCTGCCATACGGAATGCTGGAGGAGCACTTGGCGGACGTCTCCACTCGGCTGCGGCTGCACCCCTCGATGTGGTGGACACGACGAGATCGAAAGCAGGAACCAGTGCCACTGGTGATCTTATGGCGGATCTCCACAATAAGCTCCTGCTAAGACGTAAAGGAATCTCGGGCAGTCAGAATCCTGGAGATCCTACCGCTGGTAATCCGCTAATGCACCAGCTGTCCAAGGTTATACCGCCACCTGTAGAGTCGGGAAAATCCCCTCAATCAAGCGAGGAAGAGCACTCTGAAGAGGACGTGGATGCGTGGACGTAATTAAACTAGACGAATATGCCTTAGCACCAGGTTTACTGCCTTCCATGGCTTTAAAAAATAGCATCAAATTACCTCTTAAATTTAATTTTTGGCAATGCCCGAGCAATCATGCAAATTAGTAAAGTTTTAAATTTTAATAAAATACAAAAATATAACCCTTCAAGGGTATACAAATGAAAGTAGTTTGATTCAGTACCGCCAGCAGTTTTTTCACCCATCACCATAGACCACTTATACGCTATAAAAAAGGGCGCGAATACCCTTACTACGCTCTGACGTTCTTCAACACTTAAAAATCTCACATGGTTCGATAAAAATAACAACAAACATATAATTTATAAATAATGCTACAGAGCATTTAGCAACTTTGATAATGTCCTCTCCGTCACGAGATATCAACGATTTGTTTGATGATATAGTACTTACCGAAGAGAATCACGCTCGTCTTGGCTACGAAGAAGGCTTGAAGGACGGTAATTCGCAGGGAAACGAGGAGGGCTATAAATTGGGCTACTCGCAGGGCGTTCAGTTGGGCGAGGAACTTGGCAGAATACTGGGTGAGGTTGTGGCTCAGCAACAATTCCCCCATACGGAGAGGGTGCGACGAACCCTTGACCAGTTGCGGTCCCTCATTGAAGGATTTCCCCGGAAGAACGAGCCGGAAGCGGACATTATCGGAGCCGTAGAAACCATCCGCAATACTAATCGGCGCCTTCGTGCCCTCTTGGGTACCAAAGGAACAGCTTCTCCCGAACCATCCCCTGCTAATCGCAAGGATTATAGTTTCTAGCGTAATGGCCAAAGGTGTAACTCAGCTGGAAAAGCGCCTCGATGCGCTTCTGTTATATCTCCAGCCACATTGGGATTTCCTCAATTGTCATATGGTTAACTACCTAACCGATCAGCACTGGACCAGGTTTCTCCCAGAGGCAATGCGAAATGAGATCAACAGCAAGAAAGATCTAGATCTGGCCATAGAGAATCTTTTTTGGGAGAAGAAGCGTTCCACCACTGAATTTTCTGAATGGGAAGATTTTTTAACGAACGCAGAGCACGAACATTTGTCTGAACATCCAGAACTACTGACAACCGTGGACCAACTTATAGCGGAGCAGGATAAGGCGTCCCAGATCACCATCAGAGAATTCATGAGCGCCAAAAAGTGTCATGAGGTACGAGAAAGTAAACATTTCTGATTAAATCGAGACTCATGTCCGTCCTTTGTAATCCTATAACCAGGTAGAGCTTACAGCCGCTCTGGTCGACAATTTGATACAGAGCACTGGACGTCAGCATGATTTCTTCATTGTGGATGCCGGTGATGGCAAAGGGTATCTGTCTTCTCGAATGGCGCTCCAATATGGGCATCGTGTGCTCGGCATCGATGCCAATGCGGCCAACACGGAAAGCGCTTTGAACCGTAATCGCAAACTTCAGGTAACACTCGACTACAAAATAAATACGTCTTTATTTCATTAGTTTTATACACTTAATATAAGTAGAGTAGAGTTTCCATTATCGGCGAACGGCTCACGGCTGGATTGCCGTGCGGTTCCTAGTCGCGCATTTCACCCTCTTCGTCGTCATCCTCCATGCCCTTTATGTAGAGCACATTGTTGCAACGTATCAGCACCTCTCCCAGATTGCCGGTGACAGAACCCTCGATGACTTCCTCTGTGTTGGCCAATTGCATGTTCATATAGCCGTCCACGGAGACCAAAAAGCCTTTGTATTCTTGTCCCCATTTGAGTTTCACCAGCACGGGTTTCCCAGTAAGCCCATTAAGAAATGGCTTGGGGTTGATTGGCATGCCAGCAGACATTGTGTTTGTTTTATTATTATACGGTTTTGGAGTGAAAACAAGAAAATCTTGTAAAAATGCCGGGTTTTCGCGTGGAAAAGGTGTGAAGAAGCAGAATTAGGGATGATATATATATTGATCAATTATCGATAACATTTTTAGCTAATTAGTGTTCGAAAATACGCGTTCAGCGGTGCTGTAAAGAGGGAAAATTTGAATTTAAATATTGTTTTTTTTTTATAATTTAGCGCGCATGGAATGGACTTACAGAACGCGCGGAACTTCAGAGCCAAGGAATCACACCCAAACGGCGCGGAAAAAAGTCACCAACAAGAAATACAGCGAAGAGTATACCCGTTCTGGAAAACTACAAAACGACCGCAAAATTCATAAACACCGAAACTAATTTTGGTAATTTGCTAGCCGAGCACTTCCCGAAACCTTCTTCGGCGGGTAATTTAAGCATATGCCTAACGGGTCTGCACACCTGTGGAAATCTGGCTGCAACCTGCCTACAGGTATTCCATGCTCAGCCCGACTGCCAGATACTGTGCAACATTGGTTGCTGCTACCACTTGCTAAAGGAAAGGTACTCGCAGCAGGAGTTCTTTGGGAATAAGACGTTGATGGAGATGCAAACAGACTTTGGATTTCCGCTTAGTCAATATCTCCAGATGCGTCAGATCAGATTGGGCCGCAATGCCAGGATGCTGGCGGCTCAGTCTATTGAACGCACTTTGAATGGCAAGGAACTTCCCAATATAACGCTCTACTATCGTGCCCTGCTGGAGGTTTTAGTTTGCCGGCACGCTCCGCACCTAAAGAACGAACTGCAGGTGGGCAAAGTGCGTAAGTTTGACAACTTCCAGGATTACATACAGAAATGTGCCAGGAAATTGGACGCTCCATGGTTGGCGTCCATTGAAACTGCGGAGCTTCAATCCATACTTCAAGAATTCGCCTTGGATAAGCACTTCTTGGACATGTTCTACCTCATACGCATGTCATTTGCTCCGGTATTGGAGAGCCTCATTCTGCTAGACCGCCTGCTTTACCTGAAGGAGCTGGGATACGAACGCAGTTATCTGATTGATTTGTTCGATCCTGTCATATCGCCCAGACACTTTGCAATTGTGGCTCTCAAGACGCTGCCTTAACTGGCTTATGCACACTCTGACATTGATTAATCCATCAAAGTCAAAAACCGGCTCTGCGTAGAATTTAATTAAACCGAAGCATGCAATAATTTAAATATATAATAATTGATCGATGCTGTTGTTAGCCACTAAGCCACTACCATTCTCAACTCGGTTATCAACATATACAATGGACCCAATACTTCTACAGGTTGTAATCAGAAAATTGTGTTATGCCCCATCCAAGCCATTAAGTACGATGTCTTCCATTTCCGCGGACATCGAGTGTCTGTGTTTGTTTTTGAGCAATATATTTAAAGTCAGTCAGTCATACATATGTACATACTCGTTCCTCGCTATCTCACAATCATCTATAAATATGGCAGCACAATTCCAATTCGCGTTGAGTATTGTGCGAAAAGCCTTAATTGTCGGTCGTTTCGTTAAAAGCGTAGACTTTGTAACTTTGTAAAATACTTGACTGAGAAAAAACAAGTTGCCAATTTGGTCAGTTTCAAATAGGAAATGGTTTTCGAAAACAATAAGTGTATAAGTTGATACCAGTTGATTTTGTAATTTCAATAAAGTTTAAAACTGTTTAACTTTGTTAAATAATTCAAGTCCATACAAAAATGAAGACACATCATGACTTGCAAGTCCTTTCCGAATGGTGCTATAAAATATACTAAGGACTGAATAGATATCAGAAATATCTATGCCTGGAAAAGTACTTAATTAATTTAAATCTGCAGTAAACAAGTATAGCAAAACACTTGACGTGGGGCTCAAGAAACCATTTGGAAACGACTGCGATAAGATTAACAATAGTACTGACCTACTCGTATCATACAACCTGGTACTTAAGAGCAGAATTATAAATGATTGACATTATCGTTATTATTTTCAGCAATAAGATGGCGTTGACCGAGGCTCTCTTCCTAATCGTGGGTGCTTTGAGTGCCGTTTACATATGGTTCCAGCGCAACCACAGCTACTGGCAGCGCAAAGGCATTCCCTACATACCACCCACACCCATTATCGGCAACACAGAGCCCGCTTTCAAGCTTAAGAACTCGTTCGGTCTGCATCTGTCGGAGATATACAGCGATCCTAAGATGCAGGACGAGGCTGTGGTGGGAGTATATGCACTCAACAAGCCCTGCTTGATCATTCGCGACCCGGAGTTGATCAAGTCAGTGATGGTCAAGGACTTCAATCGATTCCACAATCGATACGGTCGTTGTGATCCCCATGGCGATCCTCTTGGATCAAACAATCTATTCTTTGTGCGGGACACGCACTGGAAAGACATCCGAACGAAGTTGACGCCGGTTTTCACCAGTGGAAAGGTTAAGCAAATGTATTCCTTGATGCTGGAGGTAAATACCTCATGTATTTAAAAGTAAGATTCAGTTCAATTTCAGTTCGGCCTCTTTTCCATGCAGATAGCTCACGATCTAGAGGAACATCTGAAGAAGCATGTCCAGAACAATAGCAATTCAGGGAAGTATATCACCGAAATCAAGGAAGTCTGTGCGCAGTTCTCTACGGACAGTATAGCCACTATTGCCTTTGGTATTCGAGCGAACAGTCTGCAGAATCCGAATGCGGAGTTCCGTAACCATGGACGCAAGCTGTTCACCTTCACACTCTCTCGCGCGAAGGACTTTTTTGTGGCTTTCTTCTTGCCAAAGCTGGTGTCGCTGCTGCGTATACAGTTTTTCACCCAGGAATTCGCTCATTTCTTGAGAAGTACGATAAGCCATGTCATGGAGGAGCGAGAGCGTACCGGCTTCGTTCGAAACGACCTAATCGATGTCCTAGTTGGCCTCCGCAAGGAAGCGGCCGAGGAGCCCTCCAAGCCACACTATGCCCGCAATTTTGATTTCCTGGTAGCCCAGGCTGGTGTATTCTTTACGGCCGGCTTTGAAACCTCGTCTTCAACCATGTCCTTCGCCCTCTATGAACTGGCCAAAAATTCGCATCTGCAAACCCGCTTGCGCCAGGAGATCAACGAGGCTCTGGTGGAGGGCGGCGGAAATCTCTCCTACGAGAAGATTCAGTCCCTCGAGTACCTTGCCATGGTGGTGGATGAGGTGCTTCGCATGTATCCAGTGCTTCCGTTCCTTGACCGCGAATACAACAGCATCAAGGACCAGCCGGACCTGTCCCTAAAGCCCTACTATGACTTTACGTTCGAGCACGGTACACCGGTCTTCATACCAATCTACGGATTGCAGCACGATCCGAAGGTAACTTTAAATATGAAGTTCTACATAAATCCGTGATTAGGCAAACTCGATGTATTTTCTTTTATGCAGTACTGGCCAAAACCTGAACAGTTCGATCCGGAGCGCTTTTCTCCAGAGAACCGAAAATCCATTGTGGCCATGGCCTATCAACCCTTTGGATCCGGTCCCCACAACTGCATTGGGAGCCGCATTGGGCTGCTGCAAACCAAGCTGGGACTGGTACACATACTCAAAAATCATTCGGTTAAAATGTGTGCAGACACCATAAAGGAAATGAAATTCGATCCCAAGGGATTCGTCCTGCAGTCCCTGACAGGCATTTACCTGGAGATAGTCAACGATCGCCTTTATGAGGAGAGTGCAGCTCGGGTCCACTAAATCGACTCGAAGTATAGTTTTGTCTAGTACGAACTTATTTTTTATATACAGAGAGAATGGTATGTGATGTGTGCTAATTATACATAATTCATATAATCATATCAACTGTTAGATGGTTATGTTGTGCTATTGATTGGCGCACGTGGGATACAAGCGACCTATAGTAGCCTTTAGTAGAAAAACAAAATTATTATAATATAGTTATCAAATTGCATTTAATCTCTCACTTTGTGTGGTTGTGCGTTGAACTTGAAAACATGGAAAACTGCGCCACCAATAAATAAATATAATCTAAATTTAGTTGAATGCACTTTTAAACGTTTTCGAAACGCTATATTGTTAATGGGATTAGGCGAGTATTAGGTAGTACGAAAATAGAGGCGGCTGAGGCTGAGAGAAGGGAATAAGTGAATGAAAAAGCCTATAGAGAGGGAGGATAGATTGAATTGATATCTCTATAGCGTGGAGAGAGTGTACATACTCGTATGTGTGTAGTCTCATCTGATTTAACCGGCAAGCCGCATGCGTTTCTTATTGCACTGATAGACACGCAATTTCCCAATCAAAATGCACTCCAAGATGTGACAGTCTCGGCTTCCCAGTTCAATTTTAAATGACAGAACACGCGAATCTCGGACTTAGTTCTCATTCAGGTGCTGTTGGCTGCATTGCTCCGGAGCCAAAAAAACTTGGTGAGTCATACATACTATTTATATATATCAGATACCCAAAGGATCGCGCACGAGCCTCAAGTGTATCCCGCCCTGGGCCTGCAGTATTATAGCCTTAGGATCAAGTTTCATGCGCCGCGGAGTGCGCTCCGATGTGGTTACCTGGTGGTTGCGCATGAGATTTACCAGCCCCACCTTTGCCTGTAGCAGTCCAAAGCGCTCTCCGATGCAGCCATGCGGACCCAGGCCAAAGGGCATGTAGGTGTAGGGAGTCTGAAGTTTTCGGTTGGTGGGGGAGAAGCGCTCCGGCTGGAATTTCCGGGGCTGTGGAAAGTACTACAAACGAAGAAAAATATCAGCTATAAAGAACAGTTGCTTTGCTGACAAAGCTCACCTGGGGATCCATGTGCAATGCATAACAGGGTATGTAGATGGGCATTCCCTTTGGCACTCGGAACCCGTGATACGGCGTCAGGGAGTAATCCTCGTCCTCGGCAGTGCACTCTCGGTCCAGGAACGGCAGCGGGGGATACATGCGCAGAACCTCTAGCAAGACCATTTGCATGTACTCAAGGGAATCTATCAGCTGAAGGGTCACCTGTCCACCGCTGGCTATCAAAGCCTCCTTGATTTCATGCCTCACACGCAGTTGGATATCGGCATCCTTGGCCAGCTCGTACATGGCAAAGGCCATCGTGGAAGAGGAGGACTCGAAGCCGGCGGTAAAGAAGAGCACCGCCTGTGCCACTAGGATGTCGCCCTCGAACACAAACTGGCCGTGATCCCCGGCAGCCCTGGCCTGTTGAGTGGAGCGTCGGAACTCGATGAGGATGTCGATAAGATCGTTTCGCGTCTGCTGGGACCGTTCGCGCTCGGCCATTACATAGTTGATGGTGTTGCGCAGGAACCGGGTAGCCTCGGAAGGCACCACCTTGAAGCCAAAGAGCGGGACCAGATGCGGCAGGAAGAAGACCAGCGTAAACTCCGCCGCCCGCTTCAGGCTAAACTCGAAGACGGCTCGGCCGTGCCTGCGGAACTCGCCATTGGGCTGGGTGAAGCTATTGGCCTGGACCCCGTAGGCCACCGAGGCAATCACGTCCGTGGTAAATAGGGCGCACAGCTCCTTGGCTTCCAGGTCGAAGCAGCGGGTCCGTTCGTTGTGCAGCGGCTGCTCGCGCAGATAGGCGTCCAGATTAGAGCCAACCTCCACGATGAGGGGAAACATGCTCTTCAGCTTGTTACTGGTAAAGAAGGGCGACAGCTTGAAGCGCACCTCCTTCCAGGCGGGATTTTTCAGGAAGAATATGTTTTGCGATCCCAACGGATCTCCCTTGTAGTCGGAGTTCGAGTATCTGTTGGAAAACTTGCCAAAGTCCTTGATCAGGATCCGCTTGATCAGATCGGGATCGCGCAGCAGCAGAGCCGGGCGGTGGAATACGTGTATGCCCACAAAGGGCTGATTTAGTGCATCCGGATGATTGTACAACTGTCCCATAAAATCCGCCGGACTGTCCCTCATGCTCAGCAGTCCCGCCAGGTTGCCCAATATCCAGTGGGGTCGCAGTTCTCGTACTCCTCGACGTCGCCAGTAGGCATAGTGCTGCTGGAGGAGGAAGCAGATAGTGGCCAAAAAGATGACCACGAGCAGGAAAAGTCCAAGTACCATGTTCTCCCTGAGAGATTACTCTAGCTACTGACGAGCGCTGAGCGAGCTCAGCACGGGTTTAAGCTGCCTTGGAAGTTGCCTTGGAAGCTGCCTTTGAAGCTGCTTGGGTAGCGGGAACTCAGCGCGGGTTCATCAAGATGGTGCCCTGTGTTATGAATGAATTGTGAAGCTCAGAGTTTGTGAATGGACGAAGAATAAGTTTTTGTGATGCTGATCAGGTTGGATTCTATTCTTTTATTTGTTCCCGTTATGTAAAGTTTTTTGTTGTTGGGAAGAGCAAGGTTAGTTGTATCGTCGCTAATCTGGGGGATCTCTAATTGTTTATAAATATAATTGCGATCCCAGAAAAAGGTCAGCCATATTGAACATAAAAGTTGAACAGTTGATATGCTGCGGATATACCAAGCTGCCAGTTCGATCGGATAATGATTTAAGAAAATTTTTGTCGTTTTTCATTGATAGTGTCATCATGGTTTCATTGTGGCTGCTGATGCTCGGCATCCTTTCCATTTACCTCTGGCTGAGACAAAGGTATAGCTACTTTGAGCGCCACAATATCGTCCACCTGCCCGTCTCCGCGTGGACACCACTGGGACACCTCAGGAAGTTGCTGCTGTTGCGAATCTCCTTTGGCGATCTATTTCACAACATCTATGCGGATCCGCGCGGTGGTCAGGCCAAAGTAGTGGGCTTTTTCCTGTTCCAGACCCCAGCGTTGATGGTCCGCGATCCGGAGCTGATACGCCTCGTGCTGATCAAACATTTCAACAGCTTTCTGAACCGCTATGAGGCGGCAGATGCTGCTGGTGATCCCATGGGATCGCTGACATTGCCGCTGGCCAAGTACCATAACTGGAGGGAGAGTCGTCAGTCGATGGCGCAGCTGTTCACCAGCGGCCGGATGCGCGAGTCCATGTACCCTCTGATGATGGGAGTGGTGATCGACCTGGAGCAATATCTGCAAAGGAAGCTCGGAGACCGGTCCGAGCGGATGCTACCTCTGAGTAAAATGTGTCAGCTATATACCACTGATGTCACGGGAAACCTATTCTACAGCATGGATGTGGGCGGACTGCGCAGAGGCAAATCCCAGCTGCTGAAGAAGACCAAGGAGTTGTTTGACCCCGATCCTCGGAAGGTCCTGGATTTCATGAGCATATTCTTCTTGCCCCAGTGGACGAACCTGCTGCGGGCTAAGGTGTTCAGCGAGGAATACGCACAGTTCATGCGAGGCTTAGTCGGGCATCCTAGGGAGCGAAGCAAGGGCGATCTCATCGATCAGCTGCTGCATCTTCAGAGCAGTCGACCCTCCAGCCACTACGCCCAGCATCCGGACTTCATCGCCTCTCAAGCGAGCATTATTTTGCTCGCTGGCTTCGAGACTTCCTCGGCTCTGCTGGGCTTCACCCTCTACGAGCTGGCCAAGCAACCCGATCTTCAGAAGCGTCTTAGAGAGGAGCTGGCAGAAGCCTTTTCACTGACTCCCACCCTGACCTATGAGACGCTGGTCACCCTGCCTTTCCTTCGGAAGGTCTGCCTGGAGGCACTTCGTCTATATCCAGCCGCTGCCTTCATCAACAGGGAGTGTACCAGCTCAGATCCCAATGGATTCTCCCTGCAGCCACACGTGGACTTTGTGGTACCAAATGGGATGCCTGCCTACATCTCCATCCTGGGACTGCATCGCGATGAAAAGGTACGGCTGAAAACTGAGGGAAGCTCTCCCGCATGCTCAACTCACGTTACACCTTCTTCTCCCTACATTTCCATTCCAGTATTGGCCCGAGCCCAACCGCTTTGATCCCGAACGATTTGATCCAGATAGGAGCAAGGATATCATACCCATGACCTATATACCTTTTGGAGCTGGCCCCCATGGCTGCATCGGCAGTCGTCTAGGGTCTTTGCAGCTGAAACTGGGTCTGGCCCATATACTGAGGCTGTGCCGGGTGGAGGTCTGCGAGCAAACAGTGCCGCAGATACGATTCAATCCGAAAACGTTCATGCTGGAATCAAAGGATGAGATATATTTGCGATTTTACAGGGATAAGCTATAAATTAACTGCAATGTTTCACCGCGTGGCTGTGATACTTGGGTATGGAAAAGGGAAAGTATTATTTTTAATGAAAAAGTTATATTTGAATTGAATTGTTTTATTTGGATGAAACACCTTTGTTTTTTTGGGTAATTTAAGTGGCGACCGTAGTAAGGGATCAACAGACACACAAAATATGGATTATCGTTCACTCGACAGCGAAGTATATTTTCTTTACATTTTGAATACTTTATACACAGACACATATATAATATAAATATTTCTCCAAAAGGAGAATCTCTTTTAAATTCAGCCACGATTTACTTCCAGACTTAACCCCAAGCTACGCCGAGCTGGCATCTTTCTCTTTCACCCACAATTATATCGATCGATCCTTAGTTCTAATTGACACTGTCCAACTGGCTGAGCTTATCCTCAATATCTTTGATACGACAACGGATTTCGGGGGCCGAGTCGCGCTGGAACTTGGTTAGATTCGATTCGAAGCTCTGCTTTATAACGGACAACGGCTGCTGATCTTTTGCCATGCTGAGGCGTTTGATGAGCATGAGAACAATGTTGAGGGCCTCCTTCTTGAGTCCCGTGTGCGGGACACCAGCGGCCAGAGAGACTGCGGCCAGGACATCGCTGCAAATCTTGCCCACAATGGCCTCACGCGTCTGCAGGATTGGCGTCTCTGTCTTGAGCTTCTTCTCTTGATTGATCTGCGAGAGATCGGGTATCTTGGCCGACTCATCGAAGATGTACAGCCGTTCGATGTACTTGGTGAGGGCGGCGAGCAGACTCACCTGAACCGGACGCGTGCTCTCGCTTAGGATGCTGGTGCAGTTCGCGGCGAAGAAGAGCTGATATCTGTGCTGGGTCTCGATCGAATGGCGCGGCCACGACTTACCCAGCGTCTCCCAGACCACCTCCTTTAGTTTGTTGAGTGTCTGCGCTCGCTTGTTGCGCTCATCGGCCGTTAGATCCTTGCTTGGCTCATCCTCATCATCCGACTGGGGGTCGCGGAGATCCTTCTTCTCCAGCAGATTCCAGATCATGTCGTAAACATCTTCAAAGCGATCAGCCTCCAATTGATCCAAGATGTCGCCCAGGGCAGCCAGGGCCAATGTGCGGTAAACTGGCTCCCGTTTGCGGGCCTCGCGCATTGCCGCCTCAATAATGCTCGGACAGATCTCGTTGTTGCGGTCCAGTCCCTTGCAGAGAGCAGCCAGGGCCTGCAGTAGTCGCTCCTTTCCCTCGAACGTGCGTCCCTGTAGACCACTCAACAGCAGTCGGATGAGACGGACTCGCTCCGGTTCCTCGAGGCTGCTGCACAGACGGGTGGCAATTGTCTGGATGGCATTGGCCGCCTGTGCCTTGCGTGACCAGCTGGCGTCGGTTAGCGACGATTCCAGTTTGGGAATGATCACGTTCAAATTGAGACGAATTCCCGCATCGCCGGGGCTAGTGTCGTTCCATAGATCCTTCCACAGCTCCACATTGGCTTTCGACTCCTCTGTGGGCTCCTCGTGCATGGCAAAGAAGATCAGCGGGAGCATGCTGTCCATGTAGTCCTTGAGCAGTTCGTGGTGACGCTTGTTGATGGACTGTATGGTCAGGGCGATTGAGCGGTTGTTTGGCTGCTCCAAGTACAGCTCATCCAATTTGGCAAAAAAGTTCTTGATCGACGATTCCTTAGCCAGTCCCAGGAGATGACCAATCGCGCTAGCGTTATACTTCCGCACAGTAACATTGCGATCCTTGATTCCCACAAAGCAGGCGCGTAGGTATTTGCCCACCACGGGCGTCATCTCCTTGCCCAAGCGGATACTGATCTGAAAAAACAGAATAAGAATCGATGTAATCGGGGAAACAGTGCATCTAGCTTTTGGGCTGACTCACCAGGCAGACAAAGTGGGCACATCCAATCTTGGTGCCGAGATTCACGCTGGACTTCATCAGCTCGAGCACTTCGGGAGTCATGCGCTCTAGCACTGGGTAATCGATGTACCGCACGCACTTGCTGATCGTCTCCATGGTGTGGTGAGACTTGGCTGCCTCGGCGCGCAACGTGTCGACCACCTCCTGGGCCTCGTTATTGGCGCCGAGGCGTGTGGACACATAGGATAGCTTTGTGTTTTCAAGTTCCCCGGTGGCGCGCAGAAGGCAGGGAATCAGAGTAACTAGGTGCGGGGCTATGAGCGCACCGGAGGAGTCGATCATGTCTGATATGGTTTTAATGCTAACTTTTCGTATCTCGACGACTTTGTGGCCTACACCCGTCTCCAAAAGGTAGGGAAGAATTGAGGAAGCGACTGCTGTGCCTGACTTGCCATGGTCCGAGGAGGCTGCGATCACACAGAGCTTGCCCAGGAATGAAGCCGTGCCATGCGCAGTGACCCGAGTACCCTCGTGTATGTCATCCATGACACGGAAGAGCTGAAACCAGAGTTCCTTTAGCTCCGGTTCGGGCGCCTCGTCCACCTGCATGGCGTCGGGCGTGACACGGCTCGGACTGCCAATGGGCCGCACCAGTTCCTCTGATCGAAGCTTTAGGCCATTGGGACGCTTTAATAGATCCCTTACGGCCAAACAACAGGCGATACGCACTCTCCACTCCTTGCTGGTGAGATTGTCTAGCAGCTCGCGCAGGATATCCCAGTAATACTTCTCGGTCACCTCCTTGGAGTCGCTGACAATCGTGTCCCATATGGAAATCATCGAGTTTTGTATCTTGGGCGTAGGATCGTACTTGTAGCGATATAGACGCGGGATAATTTTGCCCAAATACGGTTGCATCTTCTGCTTGGATTCGGCCGAGAGGGTCTTCAGTCCGAAAGCAGCTCCCAGCTTACTGGTCCACGCTGCATTGTGATTTGCCAGCTGCATGAACTGATAGATCATGTCCGGCTGGTTGAGATCCGAGGCCAGGGAGCACAGCTCCTTGTAGGTCGTTATGTTTCCGCCGGTCGGGGTCTTACCCAGCATACCTTCGGCAAAGAGTTCGGTGTCGGCAGAGACCTGATTCACCTTCCGCTTGCCGCCAATAAGCTGATCCAGCAGCGAGTTGGCCAAGTCGGTTTGACTGCCCGCATCGGAAAGGGTGTAAACTAGTCCAAGGCCACGCGAGGCAACATCCTGCACAAATTCTGCAATTAAAGGCAATAAAAGATTAAAATAAAGAATAACGAACCGAATCGCGAAGATCTATGGTAGCTTAGCATACAGCTGTGCTCAGATCCGGACCATACACTCTTCAAGAGTATAAAATGTTGTTTCACATACCACTATCGTCGGATAGAAGCTCGGTGAATGCGAATTGCAGGAGCTCCTTCTTGCGAAGCACAGCGGGGCGTTTGCTGCAGTGTTTGACCACGGCCAGAAGCCACACTGAAATGGCCTGACGGGAGTGTGGATTGGGCTCAGTGACCAGTCGGATAAGGGAGTTAAGGAACTTCTCAAAGGTAGCGTCGTCGCAATGTACATTTACAAATTCCTCGGATGGTTGCCCCTTGTTGACATCATAGCCGCAAAGGGTGTTCACAATCGCCTCCGAAATAGCTATATTGAGGGCTGCATCCTTTTGTACCTTGGTCAAGGTAAGGAACTTTTCTAGGTTGCGCTGGGTGAAGTGTTCGCCATCGCCGATTCCCAGATAGCCCAGACATTTGGCTGCCTCCTCCCGATTCTTTTGGCGGGCTGACGAGCTTCGCAGCAGTTGGAAAACCACACCAAAGATGAGCAGCTTAGTGGAAGCCTCAATGTTCTGGAGTTCGGTCATTTCCTCATCGTCATCGCCACCATTGCTGCTGACGGCCGCTTGAATCTCTACTTTGACATTTGGTATCTGGACTGCCTTGCCGATCATGGATAAGCATTTTACGGCAGCCGAAACAAGCAGCCATTGCGACTCGCACAGGTTTTTGGCTGGAAGAATAAATAAATGGTAAAATATCTATTTTGCGATCAAGCGTTCAAGCGATTACTTACAAATAATCTTCACTGCCTCGATAAACTGCGGCCATGTGGAATAATCCTTTGGCGTGTTCGACTGTTTGAGCATAGCAATCTTTCGATTGAATGCGTGTCCCAGCACCAGAAGCCACCCATGCTTGTGCTCCAGGGTTTTCTGCGTGAGGCTGACCATGCACTCAGCGACCTCTTCATCGAATTGATCATCATCGAGGCCTGAGGCCCACAGAATGGCATACACCTGGGATACATGGATCCGCATTGTTTCGGACACATCCTTCAGGGAGTTGCTCAGAGGCTCCAATAGATGCAAGTTCTTGGCTGCAAACAGGTCTGGGGCGGCAGTCAACAGGTCGTACAGACAGATAAGATTCGATTCACCTGGGAAAAAACATAACGTTAGTAGAACATAGCATTGATTCCATTCGATTACTCACTTCTCTTGGCCTCTACACCACGCTGTACAAACTTAACATATTGATTGATGGCATTGCCCTCCTCGTCATCGTAGTTGATGTTGATATATTCACGCAATTCGGTGGTATACTTCTCATCGCCCGGAGCAGCCACAACCCCAGCCGAGTACCACAAACACAGCCGCAGATAGTCAAGCAGCTCTTCATAAACCTCCAGGCTATACGGAAGCTTGGTACGTCCCACCACCACACACGAGCTGTTCTTCTTCAGTCGCTTGTTGGCCATTTCATGGACATGCGACATCATTACCTTAAAACTTGGCAACACCACACGGCGTTGTTCCAGCGAGAGATGGTTGAAGTCGCTGATAGTTTCGCTGTTGCTGTGGTTTCCCGCCTTCTCAATAGACGAGATCAGGCTGTAGTTGACATGATCCTTCTTCGAGGTGCCATACAGATAGGTGGTCACATTCTCACGCAGAGAATTGCTAAGCGTTGAAAGAGAAATACATCAATAGGAAACATAGATACGTAATGAATCAAGATATGCAGTTACCGTTCGCCTGCGATGAGCAGCAGCAGGTATCTGGCAGGCGCAAAATACTCCGGATAGCAGCTGGTTAGAAAGACGCTCGTCACATTCTGTACAATCTGTACCTTCGACTCGGCGTTGTCCAGCAGCATGGCCAGCAGCAGATGATGCTGTCCATCCAGCTTCACCTCGGTTGGGTCCACGGAAGGATCATCCACATCCATGGCATCGGTGGCCTCCTTTGTTTTCCAGGCGAATGCCGGAGCCATGGAGACTAAAGCCTCCCGTATAGAGGAGTGCAAGTCCGGTTCACTGTTTGCCAGGTTGTTGAAATAGCCCAGCACCAGCTTTAAATCCTGATTAACGTCGTTAGGGAAACTACGGGCATGTTGGGCCAGGGCTGAATATGCCGCATTCTGCACATCATTGGGCTCGGCTGTGTCGCGTCCAATGACTTTGGTGATGCCAGTGAGGATTACCTTGGAAACCTTGGAGACTAAATCACGTGGTCCGCTGCGGGAAAAAGGGTAAAGTAACATGAGAACAGGAATGCTGATTATTTATAAATCTATCGCTTACTCCTTTAGAACCAGTTCCACAAACTGCAGGGCCAAAACCTTGCATTTTTGATTGGTGTTTGTGCCAAACAATCCCTCAAAGATGACCTGCAGTCCCTTGGTGACATTGATGCTCTTGCCACGGCACCTGATCAGATACTGCAGCAGCTTCTGACGGACACGGGCGCAGCAGGGACGCGTCTGGCGATCTGGCAACTTGCTCTGATTACCAATGAAGAGGGTGTAGAGGGGAGCCGTGACGGCTGGATTACTGAAGTCCAGCATAGTGCAGAGCTTGCTTAGATCAGCTATGGCCGGCGTCGCTACACTAAAGCGAGTATCTGCCGAAGCCACCACGAGCGGCACAAAAACTTGGAGATCGCTGAAAACGCCGGCGCATAGGAACCGAACGATGCCTTTCTTAACCTTCTCAAGCTCTTCGGCCCGCCAGTTATTGGCAATAACCCGCTTAAAGTTGTAAACACTGAGACCTGGAGGGACATCGTGCTCCTGGGTGATGCCATAGGGAAGGAGCAGTACGTCTTGAAGGAGCGAGAGGAAATTCGTGCTTATCGAATGCTTCCCCTGAAGATTCAGCAGCGACGCTCGCTGTGCGGGATCATCCGGTATCTTCATATCGCTCAATATGGGCAACAGAAGTGTGAAGAGTTTGTCCTGGTAGTTTTCAAGCTTGTCCTCGCTACCAACTACTTTAGCGGCCAACGCCGTTTGATGCTCCAGCGAGAGACGCGGAAATCCCATCGTTATGAATATGATGCCAAAGTTCTTGAGAAATGTGGTGCTATTATTGGCTGCATACTGGTCCAAAAGAGCCTCAACGGGGATCTGCACTTGTGCTCGAGAGGCAAGCCGGCGCTTGATGTGAGTTAGCACCTCCACAACCTACAGGAGGGGAAGTGCAATGTATTAGTCTTTAATTTTTTGCACCGTCATGGTACTAGAGGGCGGCTTTGTTGCGGCTCTGTTTCGGCCATTTACTTGCCTTTGTGCGGACTTCATTGTGGGGAGAGTTGATCTTAAGTATCACTGGAGTTAGAAACTTTCCCACCGTGGTCTCCAACTTCTCATCGCTGTCTGTATTGCCCAGACGCAACAATACGCGCTCTAGGAGCTCTAAAAAATTGAATGCAAGTTGTTTATTCAATAGGCCAACTCCTTCGTTTCCAGCCGGTAGGTGGCTTGATTCAGGCCTGACCTGATCCGGGCTTCTTATATTTAACTAGATAAGCTTTTCAATTTTATTTTACCAATTTCCGCACTAGGTCCAGTTTCCATTTTCTTGTTTTTCGTATTCAGCAGTGTGACCGCGGATTTATCGTTAGAATATACCGTCCGACCCTCAGAAATATACCAAAATATACCTCTTAATTTAAAAAAATACCGCGTAAATATACTGACGAATTCAAGTTCTATTTTACATATTCCGATTTTGATATTCCGTGGAATATTATCAGCTAGATAGAACATTTAGCCATGCCCACATAATTGTATCCAATTAATGAATCTATTTTCTACTTGACTGGCTTATTTTAAATACTTGCTTTCATTGGATTTTGCAAAAAAAGTGGTTATGGCGAAATAGGTCAAACAAAAAAGGTTTTAGCAAAAATGGGCACACTATTTGTGGAAATTTAGAGATTCCGTTGAATAATTCTGGCTAACTAAAACCTTTAGTTCTGCCCATAATTTTAGGCCATTGATGAATAAATTTTGTACAAGATTGGCTACTGTTAAGAACTCCCTTTTTATTGTATTTTGACTTAAACAAGGTTTAAACAAAATAGTTCCACAAACAAGACACGAAGGCATGATGCGTGTATAGACCTTTGTGTACCCTATTTCGTTAGTTTAGTATGAAGCTGATATGAAGATAAAACGTAATTCATAAAGACCTCTTCTCATATTGATATTCATGTATTGATATTCATTCAGACATATTCATGTAAATTCTTAGTATCTTGTATATGTATATTATATATATCGATCCTGATACCTATTTGGGGTCTCTGTAAGAAGACAATAAGCTGCAAAATAGCGTTGAAATAGGTTTCAAACAGAGACTAAAATATTTTTGCATTTATTGGAGCCTGGGATGACAAACATAATCTCAATTCTATAATATTCATTTCCCCCAGGGTATGCCCAGAAATGTATGGGATTCAAGTTCGGTTATCGATACTATCGACTGGATACGATTGGTGCGCGCCAAATATAAATTGCTTGGAAGTGAATGAGCGAAAAGGATTTAAATGCAATCTATTGGAATAAATGATACACGTAAGTACGATTTGTGCGCGAAAATTTTGAAAACTGCGTATGCACTGTGGACAGCTGCTTTTTCGCGTATCGAAATTATATCGGTACTTAGTGTTAATGCCAACTGAAAAGTTTCAAGAATTCCGGTCAATTATATACAACGTACTTTATGTACTCTGTAAATATCATCCCCGGGAAAATCATTATTATTCCCGGTGACAGGAAGAATTTAACATTTATCTCCATGAACTTCATCATTTTGAAGACATTTCTCCGTGTTTCCTTTTTCTGTTCGCAAGAACTACTTTGAATCGATCCCATACCATACCAGTTTTTCGCACTCGTTCATTGGAAAATTCTACGATAATCCCTGGTCTTTGATGTGAATATAGCTGCGCAGCTAAGAAGAATAACCGCGAACAGAACCTTATTGGATCCTAATTGCAACTATTTCTTTTTCAGGTGTTTTTCAGTGCCGCACCAACAAGATTTCCAGATCTTGAGATGGCTTGAAACCTTTTGCTACATTTTATAAGGAGCGAATATTGCACTGTGATTCTTCAAGTGCTGCCAGAAAACTCAGCAGGATCTCGCCTTCTCAGTCAACACGCTAACTCATTCAGTTAGTGCTACAATCAACAGATAACATACTGTACAATTACCCAAAAGAGCCCGCGCACTGGTTGGAAGTCCGAAAGTAGCGTTATATCAGAATTCGATAAGAAGCTAGTCGAAAAAGTCCAAAATCAGTTTAACAGAATAACAGGGATATCAGTCGTTAATAGGAATAAGTTCGATAAGTTAATAACCCTACTTTAAACGGTAAAATATCTTCACGATGGTTGATAATCTGCTAAATACTGCCACATCCGAGTAGGTCCTTTAAGCCGATATTTTTGAGAATTTCTTGCTTCTTCATAATTAAAAATTGGTATTCTATTCCATTTTTCTGCACCTTTTAAATATATTAAAATTCATTATTCTGGCAACCTTTATTTCGGATTGAAAGTTTTTTTATTATAACAAAAATTTCATACAAGTTCCCGTTATTAATTGATTTATCTTTCACGAGTGGTCATCTTGAATTCTGAAAAAAATAACATTACATTAGTAGGGAATTGGTACGTTTTCCAGGTAATGTAATATTTAATTGAAAAGTTTCAGTTTTTTTACATTTTGTAAAAAAGAGTCAAGGTTCTTCAGCAATTTGTTTTATGAAGACCGTCATGATTTTATCATCAGAATATCAATTAAATATACGTAGTTTATCATATGATAGTTTTATACATACCTTTAAGTTAAGTGGCTGCCGGCAACATCTGAAAATGCTGTGGAAACTGAAAGAACTGGACTGTGGAATAATAGCGATTAAAGTTAAATTTTTGTTTTATTCAAAAAGAATAAATTCTACAAATATTATCTTTTCCGCTGGTGTCCTCATTTAAAACTTCTTGAAGCTCTTCTTGGCGCCCTGACCCTTGTTGACTTTCAGTACATTGAAGCGCACAGTCTTTGAGAGGGGACGGCACTCGCCAATGGTGACAATGTCGCCGTGCTCAACATCTCTGCAAGAAAAAAAAATGTACAATTTTGATTAGAAACTAATTCCGCCATTCAGTTGCACATCGTGTTAGGTTAGGGGGTTCGTTCAGTATTTTTACGTTTAGTAAAAAGAGTCAAGTTTCTTCAGCAATTTGTTTTATGAAGACCGTCATGATTTTATCATCAGAGAAGTGAAGGTATGTTCGTGGCGTCCGAGATTCGAGATTACCTGAAAGCGGGCGAGCAGTGGACGCTCATGTTGCGGTGACGCTTCTCGAAACGACTATATTTGCGCACAAAGTGCAAGTAGTCACGACGAATGACAATGGTACGCTGCATTTTCGTCTTGCGGACAACACCGATCAGGATGCGACCACGAATACGAACATCGCCAGTCCAGGGGCACTTCTTGTCAATGTAGGTACCATCGATGGCCTGCGGTGGAGAAGATAAACATATTAGTTGAGGAATACTTAAGCATCGAGCGGGACTGTCACCTCACGAGGGGTCTTGAAGCCCAGACCGACATCACGATAACGGCGGAGGATCTTCTTCTTGGTGACGCCAGGCTTCACCTTGCGGTTTAGGTTCACACCAAATTGTTTTTGGAAGGCGCGCTCGTTCTGGTTAGTGGAAGTGGGAGCGTATCGTGGGCGGGTGGCAGGCAGGAACGTTCAGCGTGCGGGATTGAAACGGAAACAAAACGAGGGAGGGCGCAACATTAGTCAAAGTTTGCCTTTGAACCTCTTACCTCAGCTGGAGCCTTAAAGCCCAAGCCAATTTGGCGGTAGAAACGTGGCCGCTTCTTGAGATTAATACTCTTGCGCCGCACAGTGGCCACCGCATGTTGTTTGCGGAATGCACGTTCAGTTTGCTGGAATACATTTCGTGTACACTTTGTCAGATACCATGCGCTAAAGTAAGGTTAGGTTGAACATGGACCACAGTTTCTTCTTCCGCATCACTTGACATCCCTCTATACAAAGTTTATTCACGCTCAACTCACTTACTTTCCATCTGCCACTATGTATTTACCTCACATCCGCCTTAAAACCGCTATAAATGATTAATTTCAACACATTTTCCGAAAGTCTTACCTGATCAGCCATTTTGAAGCAAAAGAAAGAAAGAAACTTATCGGACTTATCGATGAGGTGTACGGTCCGACACTCAGAAATATACCAAAATATACCGAAATCTTTCAAAAATATACCGTAAATATACTGACGAATTAAAGTTATATTTTACATATTCCGATTTTGATATTCCGTTGAATATTACTAGCTATATAGAACATTTAGCCGTGCCCACATAATTTTAGCCCATTGATGAATCAATTTTCTACTTAACTGGCTTAATTTTAACACTTGCTTTTATTGTATTTATTGTAAAAAAGGGTTAAACAAAATAGTTCACCACATAAACAGTCGCAATGTTGCTAGTATTTGAAGACATGATGCGTGTATAGGCCTTTGTGCACCCTATTTCGTTAATTTTATATGTAGATCAAACGCAATTTATTAAGACCTTTTCTCAAATTGATTTGTTTTTGACTTATTCATGTGTATTATTAGTATCTTGTATCGATCCTCATACCTACTAAGCCTTGGAAGACAAACGTATTTACAATTCTATAACATCCATTTCCCCCAGGGTATGTGTGCATGGAATTAGCAACATGTTTGTGTATGGAATGAGACTCATTGTTGCAATAGCGAAACTGCGGCGAATCGGGTATTGCCTATATTTCAAGCTATAGATGCCCACTTAGCTTTATCCCATAGATAAATGCATTTTCTACAAGATTGCTTCTTTTAATTACCTTAATGTATTTTATTTTGACCAAAAAACGGTTTTCAAGTAAATGTTGCTGCAACAGTGTGTATGGAATGTGCAACATTGTGTATGGAACGAGACTCATTGTTGCTAAAGCGAAACTGCGGCGAACTGGGGCGAACTGCGGCGAATTAAAAAAAAACGAACAATTCCTCATATTCTTTGTTCCGTTGAATAATACTATTTATATAGAACAATTAGCCATGCCCACTCAATTTTATATGTTTGATGAATCAATTCTATGCATGATTAGCCTATTCGAAATACTTGCATTTATTGGATTTTTATATAACATTGAAAATTAAATTAATAGATTGATGAAATTGACAAAAATACCATGGGAGCGCGGCGAAAACCAGTATTTCTACAGTATGACCCTCAGAACAGCACCGAAATATACGGTCTCATTTGAAAAATATACCGAGTGGTGCGCGCCAAATCGAAATTTTTTGAATGTGAGCGACAAGGATTTAAATGTTGTCAACCGGGCCTTTATCTATGCCCACATAATTTTATACGATTAATGAATCAATTTTCTACAAGATTGGATAGTTTTTAATCCTTGCTTTTATTGTATTTTGACTAAAACACGGTTTTCAAGTAAATGTTGCCGCAACATTGTGTATGGAATGGGACTCATTGCTGCTAAAGCGAACTGCGGCGAATTCAAATTCGATTCAAAAAATTACCAATTCCTCATATTCTTTGTTCCGTTGAATAATACTATTTATATAGAACATTTAGCCATGCCCACTCAATTTTGTACGATTGATAAATCAATTCTATACATGATTGGCCTATTCGAAATACTTGCATTTATTGGATTTTTATATAAAATTGAAAATTAAATTAATAGAAGACAAAAATACCATTTAGCACTAAAAAACACCACATGGGAGCGCGGCGAAAACCAGTTTCTACAGAACAGCACCGAAATACAAAATATACCGAGTGGTGCGCGCCAAATCGAACTTTTTTGAATGTGATCGACAAGGATTTAAATGTTGTCAACCGGGCCTTTATCTATGCCCATATAATTTTATCCGATTAGTGAATCTATTTTCTAATTGCCTGATTTATTTTAAACACTTGCTCTTATTGCATTTTGCGTAAAAAAAGGTTTTAGCGAAAATGGTCAAACAAAAGAAAACGAAAGAGGACAGTCGTTCATATTGCTCAATTTAGAGATTCCGTTGAATAATTCTGCCTAAGTAAAACCACTAAACATACAGTATATATACAGTAGTTTTGGGCTAGTTTTTAGTCCTTGCTTTTATTGTATTTTGGCTAAAACAAGTCATAAACAAAATAGATCAACAAAAAAAAAAACAGTCGCAATGTTGCTGGTATTTAAAGACCTGATGCGTGAAGATGTCTTTGTACACCCTATATCACAAATTTTATATGAAGATAAAACGTAATTTATAAAGACCTTTTCTCAAATCGATATTCTTTAGACATATTCAAGTACATTATTAGTATCTTGTATATATTTATCTCGATTCTGATACCTACGGAGACTGGGATGACAAACATTTTCTCACCTCCATCATATCCTTTTCCCTAGGGTATGAGAATTAGTGTTGCCAATAATCATTATTGTCAACCGGTTATTACGACAAATTCCTGCTTATTCTTTCTTCCGTCGAATATTCCCAGCTATATAGATCTCTCAGTTTTGCCCAATTAATTGTATACGATTGATGAACAAATTTTCAACTTGATTGGCATAATTTAAAAATTTGCTTTTTTTGGATTTCTATATAACGTTGAAAATGAAATTAAATAGATTGATGAAATTGACAAAATATACCATTATACAGCGATATACCGTAGGTTCAATTTTGACCTCAGAAAATACCGATAAGTAAAAAAATACCGTAAGTGGTTAGCCTGGAGGTGAGTCCAAAATATGGAATTTTCAAAATATAGCGTATAGTTGTTATATTATAGATATTCCTCGTTTTTGATTTCTGTCAAAAATTACTAGCTAGATAGAACCCTCCGCTCTGCCCACATAATTCTAGGCTATTGATCTCCCTCCACCAAGATAGGCTATTCCATCGCAAAATAGAGAGCAAATTTCAAAAATAGAAATTGTCTGAAAGTGAATGAGCGAAAAGGTTTTAAATGCAATCCATTGGAATAAATGGTGCACGGGCATGGCCAGGATCCGTCCCACTTTATATGGCCTTTTAAAATTCGGCATTAATTCAAAAAGTGATCTGGTTCATGAATATGTTCACAGGATTTGAATCAACCGAAACTGACTCGACATTTGACATGCATTCTACATGAGTCCAGCCTCCAACAATATACATATATATCCTACAGCCATCTACACATTTGTAGATGGCGCTTTTTGACAACATTTTGGCAGGGTTGCTTGGGTGGGGCGTTAACTATTTGAATAATTTATTTTTCTCGGTCGTTTGATACACTTCACTTGAATTAGCATATCGCTGATGCAACTTTGTCTCTGCGATTGACCTTCATCTTGGCTGACGTTGCTAAAGCCAAGGCAGATATTTCTCTAGCGCCACTTAAGAGGTTTTCTCGAATAGAAATGTCTTTGTGCCAGCGTATGGTAGTTTTAGTTTTGTCAAGCACATCATAGCCATCATAGCTGGTGCTCCCCACGCACTTCTGAGGCAATGCCTCGTATAAAAAATGACAGCACACTAACTTTTTAAGGAAATGCCAGAGCGCTAATTCTCCACATAGTTGTGGACGCTGCAGAAAAATATGTCGGATTAAAAATAATGACAACATAAACGAGTGCAAGTGCACGGCCTTGAAATGCATGCCAGTACCTCCTTCTCCCCCACTCTCTTTTTTCTCTCTCTACCTCTCTCTCACTCTCTCTCTGGTCTGACCAAGGCGAAAGCTGCTGCAGCTGCTGTAAATCCGTTTAGGGCTAAAACGTCACGAATGGAGGCTACCTGCTATTGCTGCTGCTTTTGCTGCCTGCATTTCATTGCCATTGTTAATGCAGATGTCTGCAGCATAAACGAACGGCGAACGCTGCCTTGGGCTCTGACGTTGGGGCCATTAGGCGTGGCATGCGTGTGCCGGTGAAGGTTTTCTCCATCGTCCTTCTTCCATTCCTTGGCAAGGTGAAACCGCCGAGCCAAGCGCAACGATGGTAATGAAATCCTTTTACTGTCCCAAGGTCTCCAATCCCGCATTTCACGCACATCACATGCCTTACAGGTAACGGAAACGGTAGGAATGTGGATGGATGGGGCCCAGTAAGTTTGAGGTTAGTTCATCCGTAGAACAGCAGAACATCATTTGGTATTTATTGATTAAATAAACCCCCGGGACATCATAAACAGCAGTAACAAAGTTAATAACTTTCTCCCCTGCCCCTGCATTTGCCTCTGTTATTATGATTTCATGCTTATTGCCATTATTAGTGTTGTTTTGTGCCGTGGAAAATGAAAAAAGTTTTATGGCCGCCAAAGTTTATTTGCAACCATTTAAATGCAATGCTGCTTTAATATTGTAAAACACTTTAAAGTCAGAAACTTTTCACTTTCGCCCTCAAATTAAGCAAAATAATTTGCATGCTTCCGAAAGCCAAGGGACAACGAGCTCTGCTCTGCTGTGCTTTACTCTCCTAGTAGACAGCGGCATCAAGTGCGCAGCTTAACGGTACATTAGGTAAACAGAACAGTGCTGTCAGCTCGGGCGAGGCAAAACAAAAGTGTGTGTTGTACAAATGTATGTGTGTGTGTAGGAGAGCATACTTGAAACTTGAAAGTGGGTTGGGTTGAAAGCCATTAAAGGAGCCGGACGGACATCGAGGTGGGATGTGGACTGTGGACCGTGGACTGTGGACTGTGGTGTGCGGTGGACAGAGCGTGTATTTGAAAAGTGACCGAGATAATTTTTGGCATGCTTTGTTTGTTTTCACTTTCTTCCCGAGCTTCCCTCCTCATCGTGCAGCTTTGATGAACAGCAGCTGGGCTGTGGTTGAGCCCAGGGGTTCTGTCCTGTCCCGGTCCCTGCCCCCTGATCCTTCCTCTCTTGGTGGGTTGTTGTTTAGCAAGTAAATTTATGCGCTGCGTGTGTGGGTGTGGGTGTGGCTGGGCCAGAAGTTTGCATACCTCTCGTCTCGTCGTAAAAGGCAAATGGAAAGATATTATTACGATGCTGTATTTTTTTGGGAACGTTACTTCGCTGCTCTGGACCCACACCTGCCGGCCGAAGAGAAGGGTTGAAAGCCGTAATTATGTTAATTTTCAAATAAATTCCTGAGCCGAAGGCC